TAAGCCATTTGTCAGCTCTGATGCCTGTCGGTACCTAGGTAGACAGGCATCAACATCTTTTAAGAAGCACAGATGATATCCAAGGCACGCACCCATGGTCTGTGCATTTACACCCTCAAAGAGGGAAAGAAAAAAAAAGCCAAGTGGGCCATCTCTAATTTCAGTGGTAAACTACGGAGTAGGATCTATTGGATGTTAGTGTATTACTCCATACTCCATACGGAGTGATTCAAATATCCTTTCGAAATAGGGCAAGCCATGAAAAGCACTAAATCAGGAAAAAAAGAATCTCGATCAGTTTCAGTTTCCGTTTCAGTGGCACAGGTGTTGGTGCCCCGGGGACTATTTTATGGACGCCACTAGTGGCCCCTTTTGATATAAGCGCCCGCTGCGCCATGTTTGACATATAACGCTGTACGAGTGGATGGAAGTGATGTGACTTGTTTTTTCTTTGTGTGCCGAGTCCATGTTTGGATGTGATTCGATCAATTTGGGTATTTGGTTATGATACTAATGTTAGAGAAAGGGTCCACATATATTCCTGCGAATTATAGATATAGATAACTACAATTTTAGATATAGGTGATATGGAACTATGGACGGAGATTTATATATTAGTATACTACTTCGTACATGTACTTGTACATTTACTCTAGTCTGATAAATACTATATGTACATATACTTAGTAAAATAAAATACAATAAATGAACGGTGGACCCCCCTGGAATAGCCATTTCCTAGAAACATATGTCTCAGCTGGCTCCACTGTTCGGGTATGGGGTCACTGATACCTCTCTCCCCTCTTTGTACTTGGGAGGATCAACGTACTGTGTACATCTTTAACTTACACCTTTTTTTTTTTTTTTAGCTTCCCCCTGGATAGCTTTGGGCGATCTTTTTTCTTCCCTATAATATTTTTTTTAGGGCCCAGACTTTCCCCTCATTTTCTCGTCCATTTCTTTCGCTTGTAACTCTGGACTGTCACACTGCCGCCTGACGCTTAACCGCCCTTATTGCTGGAGATCTTGGTACTCTCCGACTTCGATATATCAACCGAGCCGATCCCACGTTTCGATCTTTCCGGACCTTGCCCGCACTCCGGATGCCCTTGCATCTCCTGTAAAGGAGATTTATCAAATATACAGTGAACTGCTTGCGCAGTCATTTGCCTGACACCCGATCATCGTGTCGACCATGTCCACCGCAGTTGCATCCGCACCGGCCCCTTTGTCCTCGCCACACCCTACTCGCAACCCCAGCCCGAGAAATCTCCCGGCTTTGGCTCCTCCGAATAACATCCCGTCCAATTTCTCTCCGCCCCGGATGTCCAAAAGTCCTCAGAATGGATCCGCGGTACACGGTTCCCCGACCGAGAACAGAGGTCCAGCGTCTCCGTAAGTTGAGAGATTCATAGAATCGGAGCTTCCCAAACTAACGTTATCATCAGATCGCAAGGTGGCACCGGGGGCCCACAGATTACCGTAAAGAAGGAACCGGGATCCTCCCCACGCATACAGAGTCGGCCCCGGCCCCGGAAATTGGACCTTTCGACTAGCCTTCCGTCCTCCAGTGGTTTGTCGGTTCGCGCTCCCGGGGGCCCTTTGACAGCCTCGATGCAACATGTAGGCCTCGCGTGCCTATCACCTGGCTTCCAAACCCACGATCCGATCATGCGAGAGCAGCTACAGCGCAGCCTCTCTGTGCGGGATCAACAGCGGTCGATCATTGAACAGCGCATGCAGAGATCCGCCAAGGATGATGGTCCGGATGGGATTAAGCCTTCCGAGTCGAATTTGATGGGTATGCCCAAGACCGCAAAGCGCAGACCGGCCGGCCTGTCCATCGTCCCTCCATCCGCCTCCCAGTTCGCAAACGAGCGAGTCATCCAATCCGCTCCGCTACACCAGACTTTCACAGGCAGGTACCAGCCACAACCATTGACCCGCCATGTTGTCAACCAGAGCCCGACCTTGGGTTCGACCTCCCACATGCATCAGCTCCCGGCAACCCAAACAAACAATCGTCTTCCTCCCCTGTCTGATGTTTTCGGTTCCGATGCATTGGGTCGCGACCGCGATTCTGGCCTCGCTAGTATCCACTTGAACGCATCGAGCAACTCCTCGCAATCCAACAACTTGGCCCCAATGCCCTCTCCTGGTCTGCCGGGTAGCGTGTCCCAAACCCCCAACCGACCGCGCGAATATCACTCAGCCGAAGAGGCCGTGCAAGAGATGTCCGGTGGACGAGAGGAGCTTCTGCCTCGCATTGTCCACTATGGAGGTCACCAACCTCCCACTCCTCCATCTCCACAGATACTTCACACAGGTCCCAAGACCGCGCCTCTTGCCCCAGAGCCCCAAGCGCCCCACGGCCCGCCTCCTGCCTCCTTTGGTATGTTCGCCCCGTCCGATGTTACGGCACGTCGTCGCCCTCGGAGCGAGTATGAACACGATAACGGCAGTCCACCGCTGGGTCATGGCCCCGACTCTCAATACCGACCCAACCCAGCTTCCATGCCCGGCCCACATGCTTCGTTCCCTGGACCTTTCGGCGCAGGAAGAGATTCGCCCGAGACGCAGCGGAGAAAGAAGGATGAATTCCTAGGTCTCTGTGCACGGGCTTGGGATCTGTTCCACTCGTGATACAACATTGCTCTGTTAGTCTCAGAACCAATGCCTCTTGCAGAGGCCTAGGGTTGGCTCTACTTTGCGAGTTTCAAGCAATGATGGAATTTGCTTGAACCTGCTTGCTAGAAAATGCCCGACCCAACAGATCACCCCCGATTACATCATCTATATCTATCCCACCTCTGAGGAGTTTGCTGCCTTGGAATGCAAAGACCTTACTTTGATGCTATAAGTCCTAGGCAATAATTTGGCTCCGTTGGCAAGTCCAGCCCCAAATTCAATACCTGGGCAAACGCGAATGTCCATATTCCCCGACTCATCCTGGACGATCGAGTCGCGAAACCCTTCCCACAATGATGCTTGCATCAATATCATGTTATCTATGTTACGACAGTATTGACAGGGCGCGTTGGCACCCTGTAAAATTTTGTGTTCGGGTTCCTTTTTGCATCCAGTTTGCTTTGGGCGTTGGTGGTTCCCTGCTTCGTACTATACCTTTTGAACTTGTTTTTGGGAGATAAAGCATTATGGTAATGAGTTCTCTACCTCTTACTGGCCTGTTTCGAATGCCTTGTTTTCTTCTCTTTGCCTTTTCCTATTGCCATATTGGCCCTCAGCTCCGAGACTGGTAATCCTAATGCATCACACCTCACTATACAATATACCCGTGGACATGTAGATATTCAATATTCATATGCATAACACTATGTGCTTTTCATTCCCAGCTCAACGCCATAACCCAATACAAAAAAAGGTCTACTCCAATCTCCTCCGCTTTCCACCATTAGGCATACCCCCATCCTCACCACCACCCTCAGCTCCCCTCCTCTCCCAAGGCATCTCCTTCCGCTCCTTGGAAGTCATCTTCTTGCGTCTCCTCTCAAGCGCCTTCGCACGCTCCCGCGATCCCATCTCCTCATACTTCCGCTCAAGAACCTGCTTCTGCAACTCAGAGTTCTTAAGATAGTACGGGTTGGCCTTCTTGCCCTCCCGAATCAACTGCTTCTCACGCTTCTTATGCTCAGCCTGCACCTCCGCCTCACGCTTCTTATTCTGCGCAGAGCGCAGCTTATCCTGCGCCCGTCGAATCTCCCCCTTAAGCTTCTCCTTCTGCTGCAGATTCTTTGTCTTCCTCATCTGCTCCTTCAAATCATTAAGCTCAGACGCCCGGTACTCATCCAGAAACGCATACGCAGTCCCACCATGCGGGTGCTTTCCAACTCCACTGTGACCCATGACAGCCGCGTCGAAGCGCGGATCCCGGGACCGTGGCGCGGGCGGGAGTTCAACTGCTGTGCGCTTGCGCGTCACGGCCCATTTGGACGATTGCTCCATGGGCGCGTGCTTAGATGATCTGCTTTTCTTTTCTTTGGATTTGGATTTGGCGGCGGCTTCGAGCTTTTGTTCGCGTGCTTCGCGCAGCTTCGTGCGGATTTCGTCGACTGTTGAGGGTGTTTCGTCTTTGGGTGTGCGCTTGTTGCGGTTCTTTTCGCGCATTGAGGCTTGCGCTTTGGCGAGCGCGCCGAAGGAAATGTCTGCTAGTGAGGCTTTGAAGTCGTCGCCGTCGTCCTGGTCGGATTCGGGTTCTTCTTCTTTGCCTGAGTTGCTGGCTTCGGACTCGGAGGCTGTGCCTGCATCTTCGGAGTCGGAGCCAACGGGCTGCTAGATTGTTTGTTAGTTATGATTATAGAGTAAATGTATGGGTTGGCTTACTGATTGGATGGAACCGTTGGACTCGGCATCAGAGCCAGCCTGAGAGCCCTCGTCGGAACCTGATGCCTCGGAGTAGACCTCATCATCATCTGGCCGAGCTCGCACTCGGCGATTAAGCATATCGGTAATAGCCATTTTGTTGCTGTAGTTGGAAAACCCCGCGGAGGAAGAACTGTCAAAAAGAAATATATTGCCGGTCAGGGCGGTCAGAGAGATAAGAACTGATTAGATATTTTTCGCGATGCATGTTGCGAACATTGAACGCTTCTAGCCAATTTGTATTTGCTTTATAGATGTCCCTGCATTTTATGCGTCGAGACTTCCCTGGTTTTTCATTCGCAACTTGCTCATTGCATCACTCTCAGCCTCTTCCCAGAGCAGCCAATCAGGTATTGCCTCCACTACCATTCGCTACGTGGATAGCATGTTCGCCAGTTGTTGATTTATTCTGACTTGTTATTAAACAGCTTCTCGCAGTGTCAAACTCTGGCGCTTTGGAATATCGACTAAGGTTCTCTACTTTCCTCTCGTCGCGCCCTACGTCCTTCAAGCTGCCTCGCGCAAACAAAAGAACGAAGCGTGTGTCTAACGCCGCGGACCTCGAATATCAGTCGAGTTCGATCCCCCAGTATGCCGATTCAGCCTATTACGCAGTGAACATGAACCCTACATCAACACAGAATGGACGGGGGGGCAACCGGCCGGCTCCCTCACACGGCTCTTGGGATCGCAATGCGCTCTCTCGGGATACACATCGGAATGTGGGATATGGGGACTATCCTGTACAAAACAACCCTCCAACGTCGCAGTACGCTCCTGCGCCGGGTATGAACTCGAATTTTGGGTCTCAGATTCCTCAGGCGAATCAAACGTCACAAGGCTATCAATCTCGGCCCCACGCTCCTGCCATGCAACAATACAGCCAACCGCAGATGCCTTCAGGACAAGGCCAACAATTTGGCGCTTTTAATACCTTACCACAAACCCCAATGGAAATGGATCAAGCTTTCTTCCAAATGGCACAGAATATGCCCTGGATGCATCCAGCCTTTGATCCCGGGATGCCATTTCCACCCCCATTTCCTCTCCTCCCTTTCGATATGAATACCCCACTACCCTTCCAAAACACCCGACCCATGAGCACGATGGCCGGTGGTGCAGGACAGCGATTTACACCTGATGCACAAAGACAACGTTCGCCAACACCGCCAGTCAAAGTCCCGCTTCCAACACTGCAATACACAAATCAAGCATCACTGAAACCAGAGAAGACAGAAAAGCGACCACTTCTCGTCATCCTCGATCTCAACGGCACCCTCATCTACCGCAAGCTACGCAAATTCCCACCCAAATTTGCCAGACGCACCGGTCTAGATCACTTCCTAGCCACGCTGATTGAAAACTACAAAGTCATGATCTGGTCCAGTTCCCAACCCCCGACTGTAAATGCAGTCTGCGAGCAGCTCTTCCCAGGTCCCATGCACGATGCTCTAGTTGCCCTCTGGGGACGCGACAAATTTGGCCTCACCGCCGGCCAATACAACAAAAAGCTCCAGGTCTACAAGGAGCTGCACAAAGTCTGGGCGGAGCCACATATCCAAGGCGCATTCCCAGGCAACGAGCATCTGAAAGACCCACCTGCCCCATTGCCAGACGCCCAACCGCCGCACAAGAACCGGAAGCAAAAGCAGCGCGAGGCTGAGGCTGCAAAGCTCCCTGCGGGCCACCGCTGGGACCAGACGAACACTATCCTCATCGACGATAGCAAGCTTAAGGCCTCCAGCGAGCCATACAATATCCTCGAGATCCCGGAGTTCAACGACGATCCTAATATCGATGAGACGAAGCTCTTCATTAAGGTCCTCAACCGCCTCGATTTTCTCGCCCACCACGACGACGTGAGCAAGGTCCTCCGCGTCTGGAACGAGCGCGTAGACAGGGGCGAGGGCAGTATTCTCGAATTAGATATTGGGCTCCATGAGGATTCTGTCGACAACGAGGATGGCGGGATGAGTCTCATCCCAAAGCAGCCGAATGCCAACTCCAATGGCGTGGGGGCTGTCCCTGCTCCTACAAACGCTAAACCCAAGGTCAAGAAAAATAAGAAGGCCAAGGCTAGAGCAAAAGCGGACGCTGCCAATAATCCAACTACAGCCCAGAACACTGAACCTACAAACCCTGCAGTCACCACTACTACAAATAAACCGCCAGCCACAAAACCAAACCCAAAAGCCCCGAAAACAGAAGAAGAAAAAGCTGAAATCAAACTGTCACGCAAAGCGCGCAAAAGAGCAAAGAAAGAAGCCCAGCAAGAAGAAACTCGTGCCGCAAACGCCGTCCCCGAAGCCGAATACCAAGAGACCAGCGAACTACCCACGCCGAGCTGCAACAATGTAACGGAAAATCATGTCATCGCTAGTATCGAGCTAGGCGTAGACGGTGCCGGGGATAGCTCTCGAAATGCCAAAGGTCAGCGATCACTTCGTCGCAAACAAAAGGCCGCCAACAGAAAGGCTCTGTTGGAAGCTAATCGTCCCAAGCCCCCTCCTGCCTCCGAGAATACCGGTCCGGCAGAGCCAAGATACAACCTCCGAAAAACGAGTATTTATCCTCCCGGATTTAGCGATGAACATGCTTCTGGAGATGTCCCTGCCTCTACCTCTGCTTCTATTTCAGGCTCTGGATATGCCTCTGGTCCCGGGACGGCCTTCGAATCCGCCTCTGCTGCAGCTCACGCCGCCAATGCCGCAAACATCGTGACAAGCGGATTATCACCCGAGTATCTCCCCCCAGACGCGGATCTAACCATCGGTATGGAACTAGATGTCGGTGAGTATGTCCCGCCGGATTTTGTGACTGAGTCGAGTGCTAAGCATGACCGGTCTCCGTCGCCGGCTTCGTCGGCTGGGTCGGGGAATTGGTTGCTTGATCGTCTTGAAGAAGGGCTTGGGATTCGCAAGCCTTGAGATGGTTTAGTTGTCAATATTTATGCGTGGATTCTGAGCGCTTGGGATTCTTTTGTTCTGTCCTTGTCTTGTTTTATAGATATCCCCCATTGTGTATTGTTACCTCTTTTGGAGGTTTTGAATTAGTGGGTTGTACCGATGGTCTATGGGTTGTCTCGGAATACTACATGTAACTACATCGTCAAGGCGTTGCCTACCATCCCAGTTTCGTTTTTTTATGTAGAGTTAAGTCCATTTAGACTAATTAAGAAGATCAGATGTTAATAGAAGGTTACTTAAAATGGTAATATGGTAATTATTTTGTTTTTGAGTCTGGCATTCGAGATATATATATATATCCTAGGTTATGGAAAATGGGATGGTGATTCTTCAACAATGAAAGGATCTTGATGTTGACTTGTCAAGTGTTTAGTACCAAATTGTTTTGGCTGTTTGCTTAATAGCTTTGCCTCGAATCTAGTATAAAAATTGTTTGCTAAATAGAACAATTGTTTCAACCTTGGATTTAGAAGTATAAACATCCAACTCATACTTGCTCATTGCAGTACTATAAACACATAAGAGCTATAGTAAACATAGTTTGTGCGATCTGACTAGGCCCTGGTCTGGCTGCCGTTGGATACTAACAAGTTGGCCTGTGGATTGACAGCTTAGCGCATTGATGCTATCATTGGAGCCATGACCTTCCGGCGTGAAGGGGAGTTGCGTCTTAGTCGAAGTAGAGATGAAATCAGCTGCTGGAATGACAGCTATGATAAACCTACCGTGCTTTATCCATGAAACCCTTGGAAAGGTCAGCCCCTTATCTCGCTGCGATGGGTGGTCTAGAAATAAGTTCTTGAGCAAGGTCGTGACGTCCATGCACGGAACCTGGCCGTTAGGTATTTACACCTTCGCATGGTGACAAGAAAGAACATTGAATAACATTAGCTACTGTGCTCATCCGACTGTCTCATAACCTAGCGATCTGAGGAAATGCACTGTGTTCTAATCGCCACATCCACCCCCGTTTCCACAACCTCCAGAGTCTCCGCTGCCTGAATCACCCGTACTTTATATACCTCGAAGCATATCGGTTCTTCAATATAGCACATTTCTACGTTTTTTTTGGTTTTTAAAGTGCTTAGCTCTATCTAAGATACGTATCTTCAAAGTTTGATGGCTTTTTTGAGGAAGATACTTTCTAAAATGTATCGAATTGCTTGTCCACTGACGGAGTCAGAGTAGGAGTAGGAATCTCGATGGTCTCCTGCTCTTTAACCCAACGTTCATATCATAAATTGTGTATCCTGACTATCACAACATTACGCTAGTATCTATCGGTGACGTCCATCCCGTTCTCCAACACGTAGAATGAGAGCTTGTCAGTAGTGAGTCTCGGAGAGACAAATCGGGATAGGACGATCAAAGGTGCGCGGATATCCGTCTTACAGTACAGCGCAGGCGCCATAAATCTTCTTGGATTCCCACGACTTAGTTTTCAGTGACTCCATTATCGGCTGCAAAAGTATCATTACGGAACAGTTAGTTCAAATTTTGATTTATAGTCAAGGAAATATTGTACCTTCCAACTCAGCTGACATATCTGTTGCTCATTACTGCAGTGCAGTACAAGAACTACAGCAGTGGGCTGCTAATGGAACTTGGGGTTGTCAGTGATCGAGCTTAGGAACATTCCTAAATTTCAATAAGAGATTGCCTTCAGTCAATTGCACAAACTTACCGTTTTGAGAAGACAAAGAAACCACACGAACTGCGGAATCGTGCGAATCAAGAATTGGACTTGAAGCGAGTTCAACTTCTTCTGTGTCAATGGAACCTCTCTTATCGATTGAAAAAGAGGTCCTTTAATAGAAAATTCGACTCTCTTCTTTGGTGGACCATTGATGATCTCATCTATTCACCAACGTCTCGTGAAATATTTGACCATACCGAATGTTGGAATTGAGGGTTGGTTGTATGCCTCGACATCCGCCATCACCAGACACCAGACACCAAGCAACCAGTCTTTTGTGTTGTGGGGCGTCTGCTTTTTCCTTTGCGTTGTACTCCCAAGTTGTCGCTGGGGAATCTTTCACAGCCTCTATGTCGCGTTTTCCAGCGATTATATTTAGGAATTGAAATGATCCTTTCTTCGTCAATCTTTTCGCATTATTGCTCGTGACTGTGGATCTCAGGCAATAAGCCATTTAACCCCGGCTGGGCATTGTCATCCTGGAGATTCACCCGTTCAGTGCATGGAAGTAGGCTGCATTTCATCACCAGCGAGCCAACCATGGTGATTGCAAGCGTGACGCATTGGGCCATCATGAGATCATCCCAATGTAGATCGGCAGCCCGAGAGAGGCAAGAAAGAAATTTACCATGCCCAGGTTCTGGACGTCTGCAGTTAGGTCATGGCGAGGGGTGTTCCAGAACGGCCAAGGGCCTCAGAGGTTATTCGGACAGGCTGCCGCCTCGCAACACTCTTCAAGTCTTCGCCAGAGCCCTTCCACCATGTGGATATTTGGTGCACCGGATTTACTTGATGGGGACTTGCCAGTCAAATCAGGTGATGCGTGAGACCTCGAGCTGTAAGAGCTCTTGGATCCCTCTGACTTGTGAAATACTGTCTATCACTTGCCAGTCGTACCTTGCAATCTGTATTTCCCATAGTCGCAGCCAGAACTCATTCCCTGGTAGCCTTGGAGTTGGCACACTGATTATATGCTTGCGAGAACGGTCTCGGAAGAGTAGGGGTTGATTTTCTCGAAGAGACCGGGTATATTGAAAGAATTGTCTCTTTCGTGTTCGAATATGTCGGGGACCTGAAAGCATGCGAGGTCTAGGACGCTATAGCAGCTGCATTGTACCGAATGATATATGTGGATCTGATTTCCTTTTTGCCTGGGCTCTCGTCCGACGGCACTTTCGGTGGTGCGCGGAATATCTCCTAGACTTCCATGTCGTCTGCATCTTTCCTCTTCTTCACTGTGTAATTGTGCCATGCTCTGTCCACGTAGATGATCAGCCTGCATTGGGCATGTCTTTCCCCAGATCTGGTGGCTTTGTGGCGCTTTAGCTCATTCAGCTTGTTGTGGAAGAGGTAGACAGTGATCAAGACTTGAAGAAAAAGGAGAGTAGTACCGAGACACTCGCCATTCCTGCAATGTGGGAAGATCGGAGGTCAAGGCCACTACCACCTAGGCCGGAGATTGATATAAAGTTGGTCTGTCACGAAGCCGTGGTACAAGAATGACGGAGCACCGATGGATTCGATTCATTATTGCACTAGATATTGTTCTGAACCTGCGGAGAGATGAGTGGGCTGGCCGGTTCATGGACGCAGAGGCAGACTTTCCTGCCTGCAAGCTCGATAATGTATTTTATAAAGTCTGTGATGTTGCATGTTAGTCAAATACCATTGACTTTACTCGGATCTGACTTGCCTCACACGGTGTTGGCTGTCATTGTCTGTTCAGCTAGGACCGAGGATCGCATGCGGCTTCGATCTTCTGCCTCGCTATATGTATCACCCATGGACAAGGCATTGCTCAAACACGATAGGACATGGGGATCTGATATATAGTCATGAAGAGTAAGGTAGGAGAAGGGAAATGTGAAACGGATATGAATATATCAGGGTATGATGATGGTGATGATGAAAGTTATGAGGAAGAAAGGTAAGAGGATATATAGACAGCTTGATGGATGAACGAGAAGGAAGTGATGAGAAGTTTATAGAGGGAAGTAGCAGCAAATCGCTAGATAGCTATATATACCTACGCAACAGACAAACAAATGTTAAGACCAACATAGGCAAACGACAAGGGGAAAGTGGAAGGGGATGAATGACATCAGGAGTGCTAATATGCACTAGGAGTGTCACATACCCTGGCTTAAATCGCACAACTCACAAAAGGGAGGTTGAAGACATACGGAGTTATTACTACTAGATATTACGTGATAATTTACAACAAACAGAAGATTATTATGCACTCAAGGAATCAGAGAACTGTCTCTGTTCTTTCATTGCTAGAACTAAACTAGCAGCGACCTGGTCGGCTGGGATTGTCGTAGCAAAACCTAAACCAACTCAGTCGATCATCATTCCACGTCGCAACGTATTCATAACCGTGATTCAACATCAACACATAAGACCGTAGGTCAAGATATTTGGATAATCCCAAAGAATTTCAGGCAGAGGAAAGAAGAGAATGGACGCGAGGCGTAGGATGTCTTCAAGCACAGCGCGTCCATTGGGGTATTGGGGGATGAAATTTTATAGGAGATGGGGAGGGCGGATCGGGGCGAACACGCTTATTTGAAGACGTGACCATCGGTCCACTCCTTAACCTCGCCGTTGACGGTGACGGGGACATCCTGGGCCCACATGTCCTCGACGAGCTTGCGGTCAGCCTCGTTGGAGGGGTCGAGCTTGGTGAACTCGTAACCCTCGTAGTCGGGGCCGACAGTGAAAGCGGGCTCCCACTCCTGGCCGCGGGTCATGTAAGCACCGTAGACGACACAGTTGTAGTTCTCGCCGTAGACGGACTGGGCACCGAAGAGGTACTTGCGGGAAGCCTCAAGACGGGTCTGGAAGCCACCAATCAAGTTGTTGGCCATGAAGGTGAGCTTGAGCTCGTTGTTGTACTTGTAGTTGACCTTCCAGAGAGAGTACTCATCGGCCTTGAAGTGCTCCCAGAACCAGGGCATGGCAACGGTGCGGACATCCTCGTTGGAGAACTTGCGCTTCCAGTCATCAAGGATGAGAGTGGGCTTGCCAAGAGCCTCGAGGGGGTGCTTGGCCTTGGGGGCCTCGGCGGGGGTCTCATCGGAGGCAGCGGCAGCGGCAGCGGGAGCAGCGGCCTTGGGCTTGGGCTCCTTCTTGGGGGCGACGTACTTCACGACCTCCTCAGCGAACTTGGGGGCGGGGACGACGGCCTTGAAGGAGTCCTGGTTGATAATGGTGTTGTACCACCGGGTGGTGGCGGGGTTGGCCTCGCGCCAGGTCTTGTCAAGGACAGTGGCGAAAGCACGGGTAAGGAGGGAGGCAGCGAAGATATCGGCCAGGGTGATACGCTCACCAACCAGGTAGGTGTTGGCAGTGAGGTGAGTCTCGAAGGCACCGATGACCTTGAGGGCAGACTTGGCGGCCTCATCGGTGGTCTTCTTGTTGTAGACATCGAGACCCATCAAAGGACGGTACCAGGCACCGAACTTGGGGAGGACCTCGGCGTTAACGAAGGACATCCAGCGGAGGATGGAAGCGTAATCCTGCTTGGTCTTGCCGAGGAGGGTAGTCTTCTCGTTCTGGGAGGTGACTATGAACAGGACGTGTTAGTCAAGTTGCTTTGAAACTCAAATCGAGTTCAATAATGGAACACATGGCATAATGTGTCCATTTCAAAAGGGGTAAAGTCGAGTCCAAATTTTCCCGCAAGCGGGGTAGCCAATTTTTTTTTTCAGAGCTGTTTTTTCTCAACAGTTATAATTCTGACAGGGATAACTAATGGTATCTCATCATAAAAAAAATTGAGGCGAAAAATGGACCCGAGTGGTGTGGTGGAATGTATTGAAGGAGGGGGGGAAAGGTCTTCACATACCATAAACGGCAATGGCAATGGCCTCGGAGAGAGTGAAGCCATTGGCACCCTCGAAGGCGGGGATCTTGCCAGTGGGGTTGAGCTTGAGGAACTCAGCGCTGGTGTTGAACTCAGCAGTAGAGTTGGCCTGGGTGTTAACCAGCTCCAAGTCCAGGTCGTTGTGCTTAGCAGCGACCAGGATGGAGATGGTGCGACCGTTGTCCTAGAGAATATTAGACAGGGAACCAATGCAATAGAGATGAAGAGAGACATACAGGCAGACCGTAAAGCTTTCCGAATGCCATCTTGTGTGTGAAGTGTGGAAGATGAAGAAAAAAAAGAAAGAAAGAAGAGAAAGAAGAGGGGCATGCAAGAATTTTGTGCTGGCGGGACGACTTCGGCGTTCGGAGAAACCAATCTTACCGTGTCACATGACCCGACAAAAAACATGACACTCGGAGACCATCAACGGCCTCCATCTAGGACCTCAGAGCCGAGTTTCAGCCCCGAATTCCCCGCCAATTCCACCAGCCATGGCGTGGCACAAACCAACCAGCCTCGCACAGGCGATGCAATCCCTCCGCCTAGCCTCAACCCTCACAAAACACTCAACCCAAGCCTCCCGAACAACCCTCAACACCCTCCGCACGCGCACCTACGCAACAGAAGCCGAATCCGTCCCCGCCGCCGCAGCCCCAGAAATCAACTTCGGCTCCTTCTCACAAAAGCCCGCCCGCATCATCCCATCCTCCCCATCCTACTTCTCCGGCAGCCCGCGGTTCATCGACCACGTCCTGCAGCTGGAATCTCTGCAAGCCAAGCATGCCTCGCTCCCTATAGTGGCTACCAGCGAGGCACCACGCATGGCGTGGTTCAAGCTCGCTCAGTTCCGCGATTTCGTCGGTGAGCCCGTGCCCATGAAGAAATACAAGTCCCTCGTCAAGATCCTGCAGCGGTTGAACCGCATCCAGCCCGATATGCTGCCGGTCGAGGTGCGCGATACTCTCGCCGCATTCTTGCGTCCTGGTAATCCGTATGCGGTGGAGAATGTTCCCCGGACGGTGGATGAGAATGGCCGTGCTCGCGGCAAGGGAAAGAGGAAGGAGTCTTCGGCTGTTGTGCAGCTTGTTGAGGGTGAGGGTGAGGTGCTGGTTAACGGAAAGAGTTTGGTGGAGGCGTTTAAGCGGGTTCATGATCGTGAGAGTGCGCTTTGGGCGCTGAGGTGTACACAGCGCTTGGATAAGTATAATGCTTGGATTACAGTGCGGGGTGGTGGTGTTACTGGCCAAGCTGAGGCGATTACCTTGGCTCTTGGTCGGGCTTTGCTGTTGCATGAGCCTGGGTTGAAGCCAGTCCTGAGGAAGGGTATGTTATTGCTTCCATTCTTATATCTCATTCCATTTCTGATACAATTGCTAACTTTAATTCCTTTATAGCTGGTGCTATCACAGTCGATGCCCGTCGCGTCGAGAGAAAGAAGCCTGGTCACGTCAAGGCCCGCAAGATGCCCACCTGGGTCAAGCGTTAAGTGGCCAGTGAGATCACTCGAGCATTTCTATTTCCTTTTTGTTTCAATATTGTATTATTCCACCAACCACGGCACCCCGAGTTCGCGACTTGTTTTATATCCTGTACTCTCAATGCATATGGGGCATCAATTCCAAGGTTTACACTGAATTTGATTTGAATTGAATGATTAGATCAGCGTGTTTATCCATTTTGAGGCCTATGGTTCTAATATTTCACTAAATACATTATAACAATTATAGATCGTGAGTAATGAAGTCCGTCTTGTTTCCTCATGTTTGCTCTTGGCGATTCTTGCCATGTTTGAGAATGATATAGGAGGATACTAAATTCCAATTGAGGTCAGACGCCATCTTAAGTTGTCCGGAACATTTTATTGGATCCAACTTTGACAGCACCGATGGGGTAGCAGCCCTGGAGCAGGGTGAACATGATAACTGACTATTACGCACCAATTAGGGCAGAAATTACTCGGCAACCTACAATTTGAACAAGCACGGATTTTACAACTGATGTAGCTCGCTACAGTCTCGAATATCCAAATTTGAATAGTGAAAATAGTTGATATTTGATATAAAGTCCATCAACTCCTTCTCATCCAACCAATCCTTGGAAAGGTATGCTAGCGAGATAATTCGAAAGGTGTCGGGAGCCAATATGAACCTTTGATATCACAAGTGCAAGGAACAAGCAGGATGGACTACTCATTAGGCCAAAGAGAAATAAAATGAAAAGACCCCAAATCCCAAGCCCAATTCCAAAACGGGAACACAAAGGTCCCATTCCATTTTTGCGCCAGATGCCCTCTGCCGTTTTTTGTTTTGCCCGCGCCCCAATGCAAAGCCAGTTTGGATCGATTCAATACAAATGAAATAGGAAATAAACAGAAGCCAAAGGAAACCACCCACAATAAATCATGAGACTATGTACAACTCGTCAAATTCATTAGGGTATGGTAAATGGGGACTGTGATGTGATTGTGATGGTGGCCGTAGTTGAACGAGAATACGACATATTTCGCAAAGCCACCTCGCTAAGAGTTAAATAGGCGATAGGTATAAATTTGAAGGATCAAGCGCTGGCCAATATAGCGCCAGCGAATGATCGCCCCGCCGAAGAGGGGGGAACGGAGAGACTGACCGAAGACGGAAGGAGGTCGGAACTCTCAAAGCGAATGTGAGATGCCCAACGAGGTTAGAGGTGACAGGTTTCCTCTTCGCGATGTCGAATGTCAACATCGGGGTTGGTGCGACGCTAGTAGGCAATAGCCTCCCCGTGGCGGCAGCGCTTGGGATGAAATTGGCGATCGTCATCAGCTGTGTCTTTCTTATTTGGGAGTGAACCCAATTTGATGTGACGATTGTGGAATTTGGAATTTTTTTTGCGATTTTCGTTTTTTGTTTCTCTGTTGCCTTCTTGGGACTTGGTTCATGGTCGTGGCACTGCCGTGGCTTCGAGTCTGGCAGGGATGTGATGAAGGTCGGGTCTACTGTCCATGAGATCAAGGCATTGGCCCAAGACTGGGGTTTGGTGATGATTAGGAGGTAATATAGGTGTAGTGGAGTATAGCGCAAACTCACCGGATAGTATCTCTTCTTCCCATATGCCCATTTGATAATCCACTAACCCGTGTGGTTCAAGTTGGTCGCAAAGCTGAATTAGGTCTCTTCCCATAGTCTCCATACGGTCTCGCCGAATGAGACTAGTATGCGAAGGTTGTTGACTTGTCGCAATCACTTCCATCATCAAATCCTTTTGTTTTTGACAGATGGCCAGCCAACATAGGTTGAATTCGCTCCATAGCTTCAGACGATCGGAGTACTGGATGCTGTCGTCATGGAGGAGGCCTAAACATCATATCAGAATTAGCCTCTCATTGTAGACTCATCAAGGTACCAGATGATGCTTGCATGACGCGTGCCTGCATGCTCAAAGGAAATATTAGGGGGGCAAAAAGGACAGAAAAAAAAAGGGTCCAGTCCGGAGTGCGACTTCTGTGCTACAGACGAGGACACTCATAGTAAACCGTGGACACTTGTCCCTGTCTTCTCCGACGGGGCAAAAAACACAAGAAATCATGGCGAAAAAAACACTGTATCTTACCAAGATCCCGTGCATTGGTCACAAGCCACTCGGAAATTTCGAGTAGCGATCCTCCAGCCTCTACCAATCTTCCGGCTCGCGTTTGATCAAAAGTGCGGCGCAAGATGCGGTTATATCGTCCGATTGCCTCCTCCAGGCTGGGCTGATCCGACTGTTGGGACTCTGTTTGGGGCTGATCCAATCGGTTCATGGACCCGGAACCGACAGTGAAATCAGAGATGGGTTCAGAAAAGGACTGGGTGGTGTTCGGGCGTGCCATGGGACCCGGTTGGTTATAAGGTTGGAGTTGTGCATTTAGATAAGAGAGTCCTGCAACCCCAGACCCTGCAGATTCCTCTGGTGGAAAATACTGTGGAACGAATTGGTTCGACAGAACATCAATGGCTGCAGACTGCCGTGTCTGGTACTGTGGCACAACCTCGAAGTGTCCTTGGGTTGGACCCTGCTGACTGAACCCATATAACATGCTCGACTCATAGGGTGAGAATGCTGGGTCCTGAGGCGCACGCCGTCGCTGATGTTGAATAGACGCTTGTTGGGGTCGTTGAGCCCGCACAAAGTCCTGGGGCTGGTAGTTCTGTAAGTCATTCGACTGCAGGGAACCGTGGAAGGAGCTGCCTGTGTATCCGTAGTCGTAGGACATCGGGGCTTGCTCCGGGGGTTGCGACATCCCCGTTTGGTCTCCACGTGGTTGTATGGCTGGGTCGAAATCGGTTGCACGACCAGGTGCTCTGCGAGCGGCATTTCCAGACCGAGACATTGACCTTTCATTCTGCTTCATACGTTGATCGCCATCCATGAGGCAATCCCAGGATCGGTGCAGATCAAGCTCAGCCCAATGCTTGGGGGACAGCGGTGGGCTTGCGTAAGATGCCAGCTTGGATGATTTTGAGGATTTCAGGAAAATTTAGTTTCCCATAGAAGTCTTCCCCTTGTTGGGGGGGAGGGAGAGAGAGAGGGAAAGAAAGGATGAGAGGTGATCCTTGTTCAAGTAGACATTCAAATCTTGTCCTCTGACGCAGCCGCGACACAGATTCAAGTAATAGAGAAAATAAAATAACACAAGAATTGAAACCCCAAAAAATTAAGAAAAGAACAGAGGGAAACTGGGAATTAAATGTAATCAGGTAGGAAATCAGGGCAAGGTCAGAGATATTAATAAAAGAGTGGTGGATCTGAAAAGAGCCGATCTAGTCAAAAACAGTAAGGTAGATAGATCAAGTATATAATAGTCTTTGAATGGTCTAGTATAAAAGGGTATAAAAAGGATAGTATATAAGAAAAAAAAGGGAAACAGTCAAGGGGGAAACTAGGGCTTCTTCCGTAGAGTATAAATTATATCAAATATCAAAATATAAAGCCCTAAAGCCATAATATGATCGGCGAGGGATCTACGCCTCTAACATCTAGCGCTATTCGGGAACCCGGTGCAATGGTTCTTGGCCTCCCGAGGGATTTTTGGAAATTTTTAATTTTGGAATTTTAGATTGGGGGTTTTTTATTTTTTTAATTAGATTTTGTAATTTTTTTTTTAGGGGTTCAGCTCTTGAGGTCAGGCGGGATAATTTTGCTTTTTTTATACTCTCTCTTCTTCAGTGTAACCGCTGTCCATGTTGCCTGGGGCTGATAATGAAGGAGTAGACATGAGACAGAATATTTTCCCCTTGCGTATGTGTCTGTGAGAAGGGAAAAAAAAAAAGCAAAAGTTTACAAAGTCTAAACACAATCAACTACCCTATATAAAAAAGTAAACAAAGTGAAAAGGGGGGATACTTACATTCCGGGGAGATTAGCCGGACAGCTGAAACCTCGCGGAGATGCATATGGTTATGGCATAATACTATATGCTATTGGATATAGAGTCATCTGATGATTGTATACATTGAAACTACAAACATCCAATATAAAATCATTTCAAATAGTGGAGCCATGCCCGATTGGATACGGCTACATACGTCAGTTTCCTTTTCCTCGGGTTGATGATTGCTAAAAGCAATTATTGTTAATAAGACAAAGGTATTTGTTTACTGTTCTTATGAACTATTGACCTTCTATTGTCTCATATTCTACATATTCCACCCTAAACTAGATCCGACAGTCTGGTTGAGATGAGGACAATCACTACTCCGGATGTGACCTCAAAGGTCCGGTTTATTAAGTACAGACGTGTTTATACTTCTCTTGATCCACTCGGAAATGTTCTATACATGAACATAAACTTTAGTAACATTTAACCTAGAAGGTACTTCAGGCGTTTCAGACTTTAAATCCCACCAGATTAAGTCCCGAAACAAAATGCAATATGCGGATGTACGACATGTAAAATAAATCAAATTCCAAAAAAAAAAAAGGAATAGATTAGGCTATTGGTCAGATCGAGAAACTCGCGCCTGTTTGATCGGACTCCTAGATCACCGTGCTTCTCGGTATATCGCCCGCAACCAGATACTCGACACGTTGGATAGATCGGTAACACAAAACACGAGGCTGGAACTGGCGTGGACTTGGGTATTTGTAATGGGGCGGGAAAAAAAAGGGAATGATACATTGTTCATTGTTCATAGAAACTATACTTCTAGCCGTGCCTAGAGCGATGACACTCCCTGTTTCAAGTTTAGATATCTCTTCAAACATGTCAGACAATGAATATCTAATCTTAGAATTCCAAAACAAAGCTTGGACTAAAATCTCCTCTAATCCCATGATCACTTAGACAAGGGTTGTCTTTAGGTAATCTCCCTGAAACACGACAAACAGATACCTACATCGGATGTCTATGTGGAGGGTGAGTAGACCGGAAGTATGACGCCCTCCCTTTCTCCCTCTCTATTCCTCCCCTATCCTCGTAGATAAGAAAATTCTATTAAAAAGAAAAAGATAAAAACACTTTCCCTCGAAACACCAGTGCCTCGCCTTGTACAACTTCCATCTCGGACTGCAGAGCCAGCGAATCCAGTGCCTCGGAATTCCGAAATTATCGTCTCACCACGCTCATCCAGTCCGGTTGCCCAGTCAGGAGCACGAACGTCGCCGAGACGGGGGATGGTGGATATGAATGGCATATAGATAAGTGGGATGAGATATGTATATGTACATATGTACATAGGTAGTAGTCAGATGTTATATACTAGCAAACGCATATATCTGCATAGGCAAGCATAGGCCTCATTAAAAACATTTAGAGGGCCGGCATCTCCCGCCCTCCGCCCGACCCTCGCCCGACCCTCCGCCCTCCAAGGGCCGCTCGAGGGCGGCCCTTATTTATATAAGAAAAGTTGACCTTTCCTAATTTAGATGTATAAAAGTGCTAACTTATCACTTTAACTTACGGTTATTTAATAGTGTTCTAGTTTATATATTAGATTTATAGTCCATTTCTTTATTAGTATCGAGAAACTTTATAAAATTAAGTTATATTACGATAAATTAGTTATAGTAGGTAATAATAATAGTTATATAATATTAGTTAGTTATTAGTATCTTTAAGTGTATTAGTTATCATTAATTTTAAAAGTTGTTAATTTTAGATGATAGAGTTATAGAAATATATATTTGTAACTATAGCTAGACTAAGAGTGTAACTAGTTAACTATACTTCTTATCTAAATACTAATTTTGAAGGGCGGGTTAGATGCAGATGGATGAACGAAACTCCGGTGGGTAAACATGTGGAACGACTGTTGGGTTGGTTATCTGCCGGGGTCAGATCTTCCAGATTCCCCCCAGATACGGGGATGTCCTCCTTGTTTGTATCAATGGCTGTTGAACTCGACACTTGTCACTACCGCGGTAACCGATTAAATACTGGTTTCTGTCAGTAAAGCTGCAGATCAACGATATAGGATATTGACTGACCGCCAGGCTTCGATCGCTCGCCCGCGCGCCTTGATATTTCGAGTATGACCAGCTCACGCCGGATGGCCTTGTTCTCTTGTTTCATAATGAAGAGCTTCTCTCTGAACTTCATTACCACGTCGTTCTGGTTTAGGCACTTGTTCTTCACAGCCTCAAGCTGGTCGACGATCTTGACTTGGTCAAGGGCTTTGTCGCTCTATAGATGTGCCTGAAAACGGGCTGCAAGCGACCTGTAAAAGTCGATTTCAGCGTCCAACTGCTGGGGGAGCTTGTCCGCCTATATGCAATGGGGCACGAAGCGTTGCAAGCAGGTACTGATATATTGGGTCGCCGATTTGATCTCGCGACGGAGCTGCCAAAGGCTGGATTTAACGATGATGTATTGAATGCATGCTGCTGCGTAGGCAAGAATTAATATAGCCAGGATTGGACCGAAAATTATCAACGAAGTGGTAGGGTCTATGGCTGTAAATGGGAGGGCATGTTGTGGTTTGAGGTGAGGTCGCATGTTTGGGTATTGACGAAGGTGAGAGGAAAAGGAAAGATCAGCTGGGTTCAGATTGTTTCACCAAGCAGTGTTCTCAATGACTAACTTTGGGCTATGTGGCAGAACCAAAATTGCAAACATCTATATTTCACTACAGCTAACAACAATAGCAGATTGGATGCAGGACGTCAAATAAAGGGTGACATCTACATTTCGTTGATCAGATCCCAGATCTGCAGATCTGCCAATTTTACTTCCCGCGAATGATATCAGCGGCCCGTTCCGCCACCGCATACACTGTTGCAATTGGGTTGGCATGAGGAATGAGTGGGAAAACACTCGCGTCAACAATACGCAGGTTCTCAGTCCCATACACCTTCAAGTCCTGACCGACCACTCCTCCAACCTCACGAGGGAGCATTGCAGCAGTACCACACACATGGTGAGTAGTCAAGGCTGATTTTTCACGGAGCATGACCTTGATCTCTGCGAGATCTGGCACCTCTGCGCTAGTTTGGAAGAACGGCTCTAGGGCCGGTGCAGAGCTCAGCCGGTTCAAATGCTGTACATGCCGCGCGAGAATCTCCAGATCCAATTTGTTGTCGAAAAGACGTGCGTCAATGACCGGCATATCGTTGAGATCAGATGATATGATATGGACACTGCCTCGCGAGAGGGGAAAGCTTGGAATGGTACCCAACAGCGCAGTTGATTCTGATCTAACAACAAGGAAGAGCATAGCCGAAGCCTCGTTGGGGTTGTTCAAAATGGACTCAACGACTCGATTTGAAAGACTGCTCCGGTTGCCAAGAGCAGCAAACAGCTTTGTCTGTTCTTCTTGATTGATGCGTGCAAACGCAAGACCCTTAAAGCCAGGAGAAATTCCTGCTATGCCCTCGTGCGACTTGAGAGAAACAGGTATTAGACTCATAACATGGTTCTGCAGGTTCTCGCCAACTCCCGGTTGATGAATGACCAACGGAATGCCGAGACGAGCCAATCGATCTTTGTTGCCAATACCTGACAGCTCGAGCATCTTTGGTGTCTGGAGAGCACCAGCTGCCAGGATAATCTCTTGCTTTGTCTGGATGGTGATAACCTCTCCATCGTGGAAAGCCTCCAGGCCCGTGGCCCTAGTGTTTCCCGTATCCGTATCATATGTAAAGATAATCCGCCGGACTGTTGTTTCTGTAATTATAGTAACGTTAGGCCGCTTAGATGCTACGACCCCATAAGTGCTGTCCGCACTACTCCGAAAACCAGATACTGGATCAATTGTGGCTGTATAATTCCGAGTGCCGATTGTCTTTCCTTCAGCGAGAAGTTCATCGGTAGGCTTATAGCCTTCGCTTTGAAACGCTTCCGCCCACGCTTGACTGAGTGGAATACCTTGTTTATCCGCAGCGCCGGGATAACTCAATTGGATCGCTTCCTGGGAGCCCCTTTTGCTACCTTGACTCGATGCCAAGCCCGATTCCGGCTGGGTCAAAGTATAAGACTTTTGTAGATATGGCCGTAACGTCTCCCAGTTCCAGTTCGGATTTCCTAACTTTGTCCATGCATCAATGCCCGCTGGTGATGGAGGGACATACGCCAGTCCATTGATAGCAGATGAACCGCCCAAGACTTTGCCTGCTGGGTGATCCTGTTCTCGGCCGTTGAGACCTGACTGGATAGATAATAGAAATTAGCGAGATGCCAACGGGGCATCAGAGAGAACCAACCTGAGGGGCTATCTTGAACTTCCAGTCAAGCTCCGATCCACTCAAAGATGGCCAAAAACTCGGATTTTGAACTCTATGGTCACCAGAGGCGTCAGGCCCACTCTCCAAAACGACAATATGAGTGTTTGGGTCTTCTGAGAGGCGACAGGCAACTACCAAGCCGGCAGTTCCTCCGCCGATAATCAGATAGTCAGCTGTTGCTGGAATGTCCATAATGGTTATGGTTGGGGTATAAAAGAGCAAAGGTAGCAGTACTCTTGGGTAATAGAGGGAAATGAACTTTCAGTCAAAGCTCAACGTCAAATTAGGTACATATACGAACCCCCCCCCCCCCCGCCGAAGGATTGGCCGAAGGATTCGGGTCAGGACAACATAGAATTTTGACGTGAAGTTGTAGATGTAGTCGGCCTCCCCCGCAGGCGTGTGACCTTGTGTGATGACATGAAATACTGTACTGTAATTTACGATGCATCAAATGGGCATTTTCGATCGCGGTTCGGCCGGCTTACGCAAACGTAGATTATGGTCATCCAACAAGTCGACCTTCGGGATACAGTATACTGTACATGAAAGGCAGACACCCTGGAGTCTGGACAGAGACGAGGCAGAATGGCAACCATGTAATACGGCCCAAACGTGGGGTTCCTTGCATCGATATGTCTTGCTGCAGACCACCCCAAGGAGCGGTGTAGACTGGGAGTGTGACCGTCCCGGGGTATATGTTTTGGGAATAGCCCCAACCTAGAAATTCATTCACGGATGGTAGTTGTGTGCCAGTGACGGACAAGAGAGCCATCGAACATGATGGTGCAGAAAAGTGTGGCCTCAATAAAGTAGCGTAGAGGAACATATATCATGCCGCACAATGATTAGCTGGACAAGAAGGTGGGCCATTGTGAATCATTTAAGTGAGGATCGGTGGGAGAAACTAGCTGGCATGCCAGATCGCCAGATAGACCGCCAGATCTACAAAACAATCCTGGATTGTTCCAAGTTATAGTTAGTGAGCGGGTTTAATAATTACGTAATACTTAGGGACGTGCTTAGCTTTACTCAGTGAGCAAAAAGCGGCAAGGGGTGAGCATTAAAACGGAAAGGGAAGTCCATCTCGCTCGGCCTAAAATCCGGTGTATATGTTGTATGCAGGAGGGATAGAACGGGAGCCGGGGGTCGGGAGAACCGCTAGAACAACACATCATATCAGAATGGGAATGTAGTTCGTGGCAAAAGATAAGGTAAAAGGATGTAGATGCGCCACCGACACGCGCAATGTGCTGGACAAACAAGGATTGTCATTGTGGCTGCTCCCGTACCCGACTTGTTGGGTGTCATCCGGTCCACGAGACTGCGGTCCAGAAGGAGAGGTTCGAGAGGAACTGGTGTTTGCCGAGGTTAGTTTGCGGGTGCGGAATCAGAATAGTCCGGATGGGAACGGGGGTTGCTCATGCGGCTGAAACGTCAAGGCTTTGTTTTGGTTGAAGCGTGGTGATATGAGGTAGGGACTGGGGTGGAGGTAAAGTTGTTGAATTGTTGAGTTGAGGCGTATAGTGGAAGGGGTTGGGGCTGATAATGTATTTCCCAGGTATACATGGACAAGTCGTTTTCACAAAGCCTCTTCTTTCTGCCCTCTACCTACCTATAAAGTTGAGAGGGAGAGCATATCTTGAAAACGAAATCTAAACAGAATATCTGAGACGACTACTGAAAAGACCACCGAAGAGACATCACCATAAGCGGCCAACTATTCTTGTTAGTATATTTGACTTTTCGTGCATATACTTTCCAGGGTAGCATTTGTACCATTGGCACTGGGTGCCTGAGCTGACAATGAGAAAACCGACAGGAAGATAAAAGCCGGAGAAAAGGTCAGAAAAAAGATAATTCCATATGTCCTTCCCATATCGGGACTGAGAAAATAAACTACAAACACGTCGCTGATCATTGAGTCATATCATGTCGAGACCAAGAAAGAGAAAGCCGAGCACCAAGCAGAAAAGACGAAACACCACTGAATATGTCGCCACTCAACCAGTGAGAAGGGCAATCATATTTGATCTGGGCCATAGTCAGCACGAAGAGCTCTAATAAAACAAAGACAAACCGAATCAAAACATACTCAGAGTCATGCTGAGGCTCACGTCTGTATTCTCCACCATATCCGTGAACTCCTCGAAGCTAATCTTTCCATCCTGATCCTTATCAGCCTCCATGATTGTCTTGTCGACGATCTGCTGCAGTTGCACGTCCTTGAGGTTATTGCCGACCATCATCTTCAGGACGATGAACAGTTCGCCGTTGGAAATATAGCCGTCACGGTCAATGTCGTACACCTTGAATGCGAATCGCAGTTTCTCTAGCTTGTTGCCCTTCGAGCTGAATGCTGACAAGCCGGTCACGAATTCCTGGAAGTCGACGTCACCGCCACCGTCTTCGTCGAAGATGGCGATCATCCTATAGAAGAGATGTGTCAGAGACTAGTCGTATATAATGTAGATCGTAGATCGTGGGTGGGGGTGTGGGTATGGATGTCCGGGGGAGCAACGAACCTCGTGGCGAGCGGGTTGGACGAGACCTGGGGTAGGGAGAGGAACTCATCACGGTCGATAGTGCCAGAGGCATCCTGTAAACTGTTTAGTATGCCAGAACATCCTCTTAGACCATGGTGTGCAACCGACCTTATCCAACTTCATGAACCGTTTGCGCAGGCGATCCACTTCGTCCCGGTTGACTGTTGTCGCAGAGTCAGTCACAAGCCCGATCCATCGCCTTGACACCTTATCCGACCGTGGACAACGTACAGTTCGATGTAGACACAATGTTATCGAAGAGCTGGGTGGTACCCACAGAGCCGCGACGTCTCCGTGCATCGTAAATCGCAGCAGCGTTAGGCTCGTTCGTAGAGGACGACTGGTCCATGGTGGGTGGTTGAAGAGGGAAACGAGGTGCAGTGGCGATTTATGCTATGGGGGTACGTAGCAAATAAAGGTCGCAGGACTAGGGAAACAGCAAATACAAATAGCGAGATCAAGCAAGATAGCAAAAGAGGAGGCAGAAGAGTTGTTATTGCCAAGGGCCGGGGAATCTGATATCGCCCAGCCCCGCACTAACCGCATCCGGACAGGCAAGCGAGCCCCTGAGGCCGTGCACTCGGCCAAAACAGGCCACCGCCGGCTGACATTACAACGTCAACCCAACCGCCAGCCGTGAATCACCCCATCTTCAGTTGTCAATATCTCCCCCCTCCATCAAATTTCATCTCAAAAATACGTCTACGAGAAAGCGCATGAACAGACCTTTCTTCTGATTCCCATTTTACCCCGTCCCCGCCCATGGTCGTTGCCCTATTGCGCGTCCCGACGCTATGACTCGGTACGGGGGCCTGGGGAGGACGCGCCCTAAAAAGCTCACCTCTAAGGCATCCATCCCCGTTGTCCGGGAGTCAGAGATCGATGCCATCGACGATGAAATCCAGAGCTCTCTACAACAGATCGAAACCGGCGTCGAAAAAGCCGAGGAGTCGGTGAGTCCTAATTTTAGCCTCATCCCTATCCCAATCACGTGACAGGATCGCCAAAATGACACGAGATTTTCACCCAATATAAAATGACTCGCGCTGACCTAAGATCGTGTTAGGAAATTCACCTGCAACGCGCAATTAATGCCACTGCCCAGGGCAAAGTATACGAGGCACACATCCCTACTCCCGAGACCATTCTCAGTAATCTTCAATATGACGAACTCTATCCTCCCATCTTCTCGCAACCCGCGACGTACATTCGGTTCTCCTCGACCGTCGAGGATTGCTGCGGATGCCCGTACAACATGACCGAGGAGGATGATGTCTTCCTTAAGATCTTGAATCAGAAGCGCGATCCATCTGCTGGTCGTTGCACAGAGGATATCTTCGAGGAGGTCATGAATTTCTTTGAGGAGACGGCGCAGATGAAGCAGCCATACGCCTCGATCGATAATCCCCCGGTGTTATCTTTTGCAGAGATGCAAGACATGATGGATGCGACATTAGAGGATCCTATGAAGATTTTTGCCAATGAGATATATGAGCACTGGAAGTCGCGTCGGATGGCTGTTCAAAATAACGCACTCGTACCGCAGCTCAAGGTACGTCATTCCCCCATGCCATTGGCCATGCAAAGTCACTAACCTCGATATCCGCAGTTTGAAACTGGTCAAGACACCGATGACAGTGATCCATTTGTCTGTTTCCGTAGACGCGAGGTTCGCCAGATCCGCAAGACTCGTGGTAGAGATGCGCAGAGTGCCGAAAAACTCAGACGTCTTCGCAAAGAGCTGGAAGATGCTCGCGAGCTCGTTGCTTTGGTACGCCAGCGTGAAGTTGCCCGGAGGGAAATGCTCTCCGTGGAGCGCCAGCTCTTCAAGCAGCGTTGCGAGGTTAAGGAGATGAAGCGCAAGCTCAACATCAAGGACGATGATGAGGATCTCATCAACCAAAAGGTAAGCATGGCTACTGTGATCGCTCAGTTTGCGCATGTGCTAACCATTATTCCACAGCCGAAGAAGAGAGTGCTCGATATGCCACCCCAACGTCCCAATGCTCCTCAACTGCGCATGCCCCTCAAGGCTGGACAAGGCGCAGAGGATTTGCAACTCCTGGAGGATGTCCAGGCCGAGAAAGAGAACGAGATTCTGCGCGATATCAAGCAGAACATCACTAAGCACATCAAGTGGAACGAGGGATACGTGGATCACACCCGTGCACCACTTTCTCCTTCTCCAGAAAGAATATTCGATCTGGCTGCTTTCCGACCCGCTTTCACAGCACAATTGCCCACTCCTCCATCATCAGAATCATCTGGCGAGATGGATACATCCTTAGACGTCACCAGCCCGCTTTTCTCCAGAGATAAGCTTGCACCGCACACCATGGAACTGCACGACGAAGCACACCGAATGCCATCTTTCCGGCGACGAGTTGGACGTGGTGGCCGGTTGATGATCGATCGTCGGAACATGGGAGCCCGTAAAGTCGACATGGACCCATTCAAGGTCGACCGATTCAAGTTCGACCAAGAAGATTCCGACGAGGAGCCCGATTATGATACAGATGCGTACAGCATTCAAATCATGCAGCATCGGGCTATCACCATGGCCAAGGCGCGCGAACAGGCTGCAGTGGCTGCCCAGGCTCATGCGCAGGCGCAAGCACAGGCAGCCCAAGCCCAAGCCCAAGCCCAAGCTCAGGCTCAGAGACGACTGCTGGACCAAAATGGTCAGCACCAAGGCTCTATGGGGTCGAATCTCGGACCAAGTGCCGTGTCGGTGTCAGAGACCTGACCGTCCCTTTTCCTTTTTTTCCCTCTTTCACAGCATTTGGCGGGCGTTTTCTCCGTGGCTCTGTTTCCCTCATCCCTTCGTCTCTGTCTTTTCCCACCTTTTTACCACACTTGTAGTTTTAGTACTCCCTCATGTTTCGATGATTTCCGCGGGCGGCGAAGGTTGCTGGTTTGATGCCCGATTCTTCTTTTTTCGCTTCCGCTCACCCTCTCCTCACACATCTCTTCTGCGACATTTCGTTTCGACGCAGGTGCTAGCCATTCGTGGCTGAGCGCGTCTGCATTTGTTAGTGTACATAGTATCTTTTTTCTCCCGAATCTCGGTGGTGTTGGCTGGTGTCGGGCAGCCTTTGTATGATGGATAACCGAAGTTATGATGCAAGCGACGAATGGGAGGGCAAAGAAAAAGGCTCAAAAACATTCAGAAAATCTAAAACAATTTAATCACTCGCAAGAAGCACTTTTTGGTTCCGTTGGGTTCAGTAGAACAGACTGATATCGGCCGTAGTAAATGGAGACAAGCGCAAAAGGCTTTCATACCCTCTGAGTCTTGTACTGTCGTGATTCATCATCATCGCCATTGGCAGAACGTTTCAATGAACCAGAAGTAGCGGGCTGCAGCATGCCCAAGACAGCCTGCAATACCTCCTTCTCGCCGATGCGGACCTGCAAGGCCATCCGTACTCGACGAGCCCCCTCATTCACATCGCCGGAGTCAGACAACGGAGAAAGCGAAGCCCTAAATTGGAGGTCTGAGGCCAGAGACGTAGGGTATTCAGCCTGTCTCTTTTGCAGCGCCCTGACCAAGATAGCGGTCGCATTGGCGTCCAAAACTGGCCTGGGAGCCTTGTCCTTAGACACGCGCTGTTGGAACTCCTCAGGGGAGAGAGACAGCGTAGCCAGAAGAGTCACCAACTCAGCTGGCAGAATGTCTTGCAAAGAAGGGTTGGCGTTGACAGGTCTGGGGATTACATAACCGTCCTCGAGGATGTCGAGGCTTGAGAGGAACTCAAGCCGGGGTTGGGACTCGGTGTCTGCGTTCGGAAGTCCTGCGGCCTGGCAGATGGTTTCCAATGATAGCTCAAGCACGTCGTAGACAGAGTAGTTATCGGTCACATAGCCGTATCGGCGGAGGAGATCTGCGCGGGGGATCTCTCCGTAATCGTTGAAGATTTCTTCGCCTTGTTGAATTGTTTTGATGGCCTTCATGACTAGGGCACCTTCCTCCTGGTAGAGACGGGCCTGATGAAAGAGGGTTAGAATTGGGGTTGAAGAAAAAAATATCATGTCCAAACTCACGTTGTTTCGGTCCGCATCGGCGTTAAGGAGATCCGCGAGCGGGACCATACCCTTAGGAAGTTGCTCTTCCTCTTCATCATCAGTCATGTAGCTCTCATCATTAGCTTCTCCCTCATCCTCATCGTCCTCACCCTTTTCAATGTCAAAGGCATAGGCCATAATGAGGGACCCCATTACATGACCCACTTGAATGAGGGCAGCGTTACCAGCATCACCCTCCCAAGATGCAAGACCAGGAGGAGGCGGGAAGAGATCAGGCCTCTTTGCCAAAATAGGAGCGATAGAATCCTTAATCGACTCCTCGGCGTGTGACCGACCAATCTTCTCGACGATAGTGCTAGCCTGCAGCTCCTGTAGCTCAGCAGGCGACCAGAACATCAGGGTATCAAAACGAGAAGGCAAAACTCGGAAATAAGGAGCCCATCTCGACTTTTCTCCTTGCAGGTATTCATAGATCATGACCAGCATCAGGGAAAGCCACGGACCCATCTGTTCCTCTAGATTCTCCCCAAGCAGAGTCCTCAGCTCCGAGTTCTGCACGGTGAGAACCATGGCGCGCGGAATCGAGAAAAGTTCTTCACCTTCCGGGATGTTGCTTTGTGCCACTAGAGCGTAGGCAATATATTAGAAACTGGCCAAAACAATTACGAAACCCTCACTTTTTGAGGACACTCCATAGTCACTTTTGTGTGGTTTGGGAATAGATTTTTTGAACACTTACCGACACCACGTCCTGCTCCAGTTGCTCGAAGATCTGCTAGTCTGAGCTTGGGGTTGAGCTGTACACCGGGGCTGGCTTGCAACCATGATATGAAGTTGTCAGACTGTTGTTGAAAGCCCTCGGCATCGGGGAAGTGGGTTGTCGAAGACATGACGGGAGAGATCCCTTGGGAGGGAAAGGAGGAGGAGGAGGAGAAGGGTGTAAAATGAAGAAACCAACGAAGTGGATACAGGGAAGAAGAAAATAATGGAGAAGAGGGGAAAGAAGAAGAGAGTCGGGAGTATGGCAAACTAAAGTCGAGAAGGGTAGCTCGGGTTTAGTTCGGTCAACCGATGGGTGCCGCTTTAAAGACCCCGATAACGATAACGAAAATCATAGAGGTCTCCCGAGCTCTCATACATTGCGTATGATTTTATTGGATTTCATCTACGTTCTCATTGATACATTGAAATACCGCCCATCATGATCGCAATTGGAATGGAAGGCTCTGCCAACAAACTGGGCATCGGTATCATGCTGCATCCCAAGGACGGTAGCGCCCCGCAGGTCCTCGCCAATATCAGACACACCTATGTCTCCCCGCCAGGCGAGGGCTTCCTGCCAAAGGATACAGCACGCCATCACCGACAGTGGGTTGTGAAGCTGGTTAAGCAAGCTCTTAAAGAAGCCAAGGTCTCCGTCGACGATGTGGACTGTATTTGCTTCACCAAAGGACCGGGAATGGGTGCCCCGCTACAGAGTGTGGTGGTCGCCGCGCGGATGTTAAGTCTGCTTTGGGGCAAAGAGCTGGTCGGAGTGAACCACTGTGTTGGACGTATGTATTTACATATACAAGTGCCTCGTATTACGAGTTAGAACTCGAACAAAACGCTGACAACGTGAATCTCCAGACATCGAAATGGGTCGCCTCATCACCGGCGCAACAAACCCAGTCGTCCTATACGTTTCTGGTGGTAACACACAAGTCATTGCATACAGCTCGCAACGGTATCGCATCTTCGGCGAGACCCTCGATATGGCAGTAGGAAACTGTCTAGACCGATTCGCGCGCACACTACACATCTCCAACGACCCAGCACCAGGATATAACATCGAACAACTAGCGAAGCAAGGACAGCAGCTAGTTGATCTACCCTACGTCGTGAAGGGCATGGATTGTTCATTCTCCGGGATCCTGGCTGCAATCGATGGCCTCGCTAAGCAGTGGGGATTAGGCGGGGAAGAGAAGGCGCGAGAGGATGAGCAGAGAACCGTTGATTCTACCACCCCTGCGGACGAGTCATTGGAAAGTAAGCCCACACGCGCAGATCTATGCTTCTCCCTTCAGGAAACTGTCTTCGCAATGCTTGTTGAGATCACCGAGCGCGCAATGGCGCATGTTGGATCGAAGCAGGTTCTTATTGTTGGAGGTGTTGGCTCGAATGAGCGCCTGCAGGAAATGATGGGCATCATGGCACGGGATCGCGGTGGAAGTGTTTATGCGACGGATGAGCGGTTCTGCATCGATAACGGAATTATGATTGCACAGGCTGGTATGCTGGCATATGGGACCGGATTCCGCACCCCTTTGAGCGAGAGTACTTGTACCCAGCGGTTCCGCACAGATGAAGTGTTTGTGAAGTGGCGGGATTGATATCAATCGAGGTCTTGTCTGAAATAAAAATATATCTATCATGTGTTATGAATTGAGCGAGTCAGATCCGATATCCTTTGCATTCGGTTAGATGAATTTGGGAAAAGTTATTCAACATTCCTCATCTCAAGTGGACTTTCCAGACATTTGTAATATTTTTGCATAAATCCAAGCGCCTGTACAGCTGTATGATTTGCCCATGATAAAATCCCAAATCCTTTCCCAACACTCAACATGAAAGTAACGCCTGAGAAATATGCAATATGTGGTGATCTCCTCACTGAGACGCATTGTTCAACGCACATTCATGTGTGTTGGTTGTAGCCGATGACTGGGCGATCTAGTAGTAGGATCTAGTTGCCATTATGGACGAGGAACCTGAGAACACCTGGGCAGACAGGAACCAGACTGGCGAGGGCCAATGAGTCGAACAAGGCAGGAAATTGCCTGTAAATCTTTTCATCTCTGCAAATGGGACAGACCACAAAATGTCCAAGGCAGTATTCGGTAAAAAAATGTATGCATGTAATTGAAAATGGCCTATATGTCTGGGCATAGCTCATTCTGTGATATCGCCGGTCGGTTTGTACAAAATGGTCGTGACATACTGCAGAAAGATTAGTTAATCCACAAAAAGTGCATAAGCCCTGACTTACTTTTCTTTTATACCTGGTTGTCACACTCGTAGCCAGGACACCGTTCTTGATACTGCTCGTGGCAAGGTGGTTCAGGACCGTATGGTTCGGGTAGTTCAAAACACTGCTATCGTCTTTCATGGGAGTCGTGCCATTGAGGATTGACTTGCCCAAAAAGAGAGGCAGACTGGGAGGGGTAGCCGTATCTCCAATGACATTGGCAGCCTGGACGTAGGCCGGGCTCTCTTCTTCCTTATCCAGATCGGCAAGGAATTGAGGAATGGCGTCACCAAAATCACCGGGTGGCACCTCTTCCTCGTTTTCTTCCTTTTCTAGATGGTGGTCCTCGGTATCCCTTGAGTGATCCTGCTTAGAATCCGGCACCGCGTTTGGAGTTTGAGCTCCCGACTGAAGGGTCGAGTCCTTGTCATGAGCATCATCCGCACTGATTTCAATGTAGTTGACCAGATGATTAGTAAAGTCGACGGCGGTTGGAAGATTATCCGCAGCGCGCATTTCTCCATCGACAATGAACTTCAAGTGGTGCGTTCCCGGTCGAAGGTTCAGAGTAGTGGACATAACGGACGGATTATTTTCACTATCGAATGTTAGTCGAGTTCCGTGAATCCCAAATCAGGCATTTAACCAACCTCCTGTGCAGGCGGAACTTCTTCTCCCAGTTCACAAAAGTTCCAGTAACATAGACCTTCTGAGCAGGCGCTGTCCATTCGATAACGACCGGAACGGCCTTGCCGGCGCCACTGATGGTGAATGGCTGGAGCTCATCAAGCAACTCCTCCTCGTCAATGGTTGTATGACCTGAAGCCGCAGTATTCGGATCCATCTGTTCATCCAAGAGCCGATCCGCAGGGAGCGACTGGATATGCGAGTCCTCAGGGCCGGCGACAGGCGATCCGGGCGTAGTGTTGGCATCACCAATTGGCAATGGCAAGCGCGGTGGGCGTTGTAGGTGAGCCGATGCGCTATAGTACGAGTTGAGGGGTGGGGCAGATGGTGCCACAGGATCGCGCCCCGGGACATGGCGCGAGATCGGGACCTGGACCGGGTTGGAGGTGTCGCGGATTGGGATGTCCTTGATCGGGGAGGGCTCGACTCGGCGTGCATCCTGTGGCAGAGGCTTCTCTATGTTCTTAGGTGAAGATTCGGGGACATTTCGGGATTGTAGGCGCTCTTGCACGGATCCTTGGTATCCTGCCGAGTGCCCAGCGGCTGTCTCCTTTGTAGCTGAAGGATCGGCCGCGGTGGCCTTGGGGGCAGAGATCGTGTTGAGGGAGGATCGACGGGCGACTTTGCGTTCGCTTGTAGAGCTGTGGTGGGCATGGGCTGGTGGCGCGTCGCCCACCGGGCCTTTGGAAGGGTTGTTGCCCATCGAAGGCGGGGAAAGATGTGATGACTTTGGGCCGAGTTTTCGCTGGGAGTGGGAAAGAGAAGAGGGTCGACCTAAGTCACAATGGCGGGCTGAGGGAAGAAACTTCCGATGCCAGCTCAACGTAAGGATTGGCGGTGGGCAGTAGTCAAAGTCGATTGATGTACCTACTTTGTCAAAGTACATGTAGACGCCGATGACGCCGGAAGCCTAATCCGGTAACATAGGGCTTAGGGCTTGGAGATTGGACCGCGGCGCGTGTTGGTACTTGGATATCATAACAGAGTCAAGATGCTTAGATTGATTTGCTGCATACGTTCATAATAATCATGGGCTGGGTATCGATTCTGACATGTCCTCTGTCGTTCGTTCTTGGTTTTACAATCCAATTACTGTCCTACTTGTTGGCAACCCTTCTCTTCCTCGCATCACCATTGATCTACATCGGACATGTCGTCTTATACCTGGCACTGCTTCCATTGCGTATCCTCGTGATACTAAAGGTATGTAACGAGACAGGCATCTATGATATCTCATCTCTTCAAATTGTAGCTCCTTGATGGTAGCATTTACTAAGCTATACCAGGGGCTCATCTATTTCATGACCGGGGCTGTGCTTGTCGGGGCCACTATAGGCATGATTCTACATTTCACTGGCAGCACCATATCACAGCTCCTGCAAATTGAAGAGTCAGATGAGCCCCAGCGGCCTCGTTTGAAACGGGAGCTTCTAGAGCCTGAACCCCAGAATCCATCCTTCGACTACCTGGAAGCACAGATGGAGGATCGCAAGTTCCTGCCCTACTCGACGATATTGGAGGAGGAAGAGAACAGTCATGAGTCAGGTTGATGTACATAGTATATCTCTTTAAGTCTAGTGCATCATATTATAATAAGATGGAATTGAATTGCCATCCGTGGCGGGCCAGACACAAATTTGTCATTAAACTGCCAAAAATCACACTAGGCAATAGAGGCGACCTGTCCAATCTTTGCACGACATTATATTCCACTTGAGACAGAAATGTTCTACAAATGCACCGACTTTATGGTCCAGTGGACCAGGGACCCCATATTGCCTAATTGGGCCATGTATGCGATCCGGCCAATCACATCGTCCACATCTAGTCTCCAACAATCCAAGGTACTAAGTATATAAAATCCTCAAACTCCATCGTCCGAATTTTAAAATTCTGTATCGTTCTTTCATCTCTCAAACTCCCCTCTTTGCAATACCAAGCCCAACCCAAAATGGTCCGAATCAACGCGTTCGCCGTGGAGCAGGTAAGCAACCCTGAAGCCCCATTCTACCCATTCAACCTACCTAGTTACACAAAGACTAACATAAAAAAGTGGATGGACCTTTACGAAACCAATGCAAAGCACAACCTCGCCGAAACATGCTGCGCATCCATCTCCCTCAATGACCTACTAGCCCTTTCCCCGAAAAAGGATCTCGTAGACTTCACGCAGAAGCAAGTCTACGGCGCAATCCGAGGATCTGAGGCGCTGAGGACCAACATCGCAAACTTGTATTCGCAATCTGGATCTACCGAAGCCAGCCCCATCTCTGCTGATCGAGTCCTCGTCACAAACGGTGCCATCCAGGCTAATTTCTTGGCGCTTTATACTTATATCGGGCCGGAGGATCATGTTATTTGCCAATATCCGACATATCAGCAACTATACTCTGTTCCCGAGTCTTTTGGGGCGGAGGTCAGTCTGTGGCGGTCGGATGAGGGGAACAAGTGGGGGATGGATTTGGGGATGTTGAAGTCTTTGATTAGGCCGAACACGAGGATGATTATTTTGAAGTATGTATGGCTTTTGGTGATTTATTGACTGGATAATTATTGACTGGAGTCTATAGCAACCCACAGAATCCCACTGGGGCGATTCTTCGTCGCGAGGAATTGCAAGGAATTGTTGATATCGCGCGTGAGCATGGTATCCTGATTCATTCTGACGAGGTTTATCGACCTTTGTTCCATTCCCTTGACTCCGATCAAGAAGTTCCCCCGTCGATTCTTGAATTTGGGTATGAGAATGTTATTGCAACGGGTTCCATGTCCAAAGCTTTCAGCTTGGCCGGGATCCGATTGGGTTGGATTGCCTCGCCGAATCCTGAGATTATCGAAGCTTGTGCCTCTGCCCGTGACTACACCCTCATCTCGGTTGGTCAAATCGATGATAGTGTGGCAGCTCATGCCTTATCCATTCCATGTGTGGAAAACTTGTTGCAACGTAATCTTTCCCTGTCTCGGCAGAATCTCGAGGTCCTTGGGGCATTCATTGAAGAGCACAGCTGGGCTATGAAGTGGACAAAGCCGAAAGCCGGAACGACTGCATTCATCAAATTTGTTGACAGGGAAGGGAGGGCAATCGACGATGTCGTGTTTTGTCAGCGACTTCAGGAAATGACCGGGGTGATGCTGGTTCCTGGAAGCCAGTGCTTCGGGGGTGGTGTGGACTTCCGCGGATATGTGAGACTGGGCTATGTCCAGGATAACCATGTGATAGTTGATGGATTAAACACTCTGAGACAGTTCATGCATGATCAGTATGAGAAGCTGCCGCTGGCTTGCTGAGGACACTCGGATCATCTAGAATAGAACCAATTCCAATCCAAGATTCGCAAAATAGACGTCCCAGGACAAGGATGTTTCTGATGCCCAAAACTTGCTCAGCAGCTCTCGTGCTCTTGTAAAGTTTCCCATTCCAAGACTTTGCATGTCGCCCATTCGGTTGTGGATAAATTCACGTTGCTTGATATGATCGGTTTCACAGCCAACACTGAACATGGGCCAAAGAATCAATATATTCGCAGAAGAAAATGGCGGGATGTGTTCCACTGCGGTTAAGATTTTTTCGATGTCCTCTTTCACTGTCTCGTGGTTTCTTGGGAGTGATTGGACTCGCCGGTGGAGGTGTAATAAAGCAGAGTGTACAAAGGCAAGATGTGTACTCTGTAGCTCAAAGGAGTCTCCACCAGAAACACTGCACTCAACAAGGGAGATAATCTCAATCTCAAGTCTCCGCGTTTCTGCCAAAATGTCTTCTTGCATTCCAGCCTCAGTGTGATATTGGCGTTGCACCAATTGGGACAGCCTCGCGAGCAGGGGAGCCAACCTCAAGGAGTATCCACATATATCGTCGACATTCCAGTTCAACAGATCAAAAGACCTATCAAGTAGCCCAGTATTGGAGCTCATCACAGCACTAGTGCTGAATCCGGATAGTCCCGCAAGAACATCCATTGTTGTGAACCATTTGACCAAACACTGAATGTAAGGATCAGCAATGGGCAGTGTTCCTTGGCTATCCAAAAAGGCACCCAAAAGACGCATTACCCCACCAAGATGAGTCCTCCATGTCTGCATATTTCCATTGCACACATCATTAGTGCACAGAGCCATCGCCGTCGTGACAGTCTCAGCTGTCAGTGTTACACTCCTTTCACTGAGCGCCGCGCGCAGGCTAGAAATTGACAGATTCGTAAATCTCAAGCAGGACACCCTTGACTTTGGTCCTGTGTCTTGGACAAGTCGGCTGTGATGACTGCAAGCAGATGCGAGGAGGGCATAAAGAAGATGGGGTGTCTCTAGTGAACTTGCAATGATTCTTTGCAGGAAGAGCGCTGGGGCTGCGGGAAACAGCCGTGGCGCGGTTTCGGTGTTAAAGATGTGCATGAAAAACTGAGATTCTTTTGATGATAGAAATGGTGATAAGTTTAGAATAGGTTGGTGGGCGATAGCGTTTAGGCTCTGGTTGACACTCTCATTGCGACGATTCGCTTCATTCGGCCTTGTATGCGTCACTACATTCTGGTTGATAATATTGATATCATATTTGCACTCTTTGGGAAACCTGGTGCAGCGCGAGCAGATAGGTTTCTGTAGGTCACACTAATCATTTGATTAGCGATGTTCAGTTGGTAAGCAAGAAGTTCTTTACTTTGACTTTTTTGCGTCGACATTCTGTGCAGCCATCTCGTCTTCTTTGGATGGATCTATCTTTTCCAACCCGACTCATAGCTGAATTTGTGATTGCAGGTTATATGAAGAAGGGAAGTAGAGAAGAGAAGGGAGTTGGTGAAGAGAGTCCCACAATTCCCCCAAGTACCCGTCCAGTCATATTGCGGCATACTCAACTTGTATTGTTTAAATATTCTTAAATATTACGATGTTTTTGATATAAATGTACCATAGTAGTCTTTTACTAGTATTTGTTAGATGATCGCATCCCCCATTATTTGCTTGCAGAGCGGATTGTTTGCCAGGCACCAGGGTATAAATATCCTACTTTCTTCTGGATTCTTCTTCCTCTTTCTTCCCTTCGCAGTAGCCACAACAGTCGCCTTTGGCTCTAGTATCAGGCCCAACATAAAATTTATATCATGTGAGTACCTCCATGCTTGCTCATATTGCCACTGACTTGAATCAACCCCAAGCTACTGAGCAGGCCCCGGTCATTGCTTAAGCTACCACCAAATCTATTGTGACAAGACCCACCTGCCATGTCCACCCCCTGCCACCAAAGCCCCACACCCTAGAGGCAGACGGGGAAGCCATCGCAATGATCAGGAAAGCAACCCCATTAAGGAAAGAAAACGCTCGCCAAGTCCTAACCAAGCCCTCTGTTTCCCTTCATCCAAGAAGCAAAAGAAGAAGAAAAGCATTAGAAATAAGGAGAATAAACGCTGTTAGGAGAGACTTTCACCTTCTTCATTACCTCTTCTTCGTAGCCTAACAGGTTATGAAGCCCTTTTTTCTACCCTGATTCAAAGAATAGTACCGCCGAGGTCTTTTTCTCACGCTAGATCATCGACTTTCACTACCTGGGAAATAATCCATCGGTATTTCATCAAGAATTCATCACTTTCATCAGATATAGTACTAGAAAGTCTACCCCTTCATCATTTTTTCAGAGATCTATTATTTAGCTCTCACCTTTTGATCAATTTTGAACAGAAATAATGCTAAAACGCACTATATCTTGGAGCCCATTATTCATTTATCTTTCACTTTTGAAACGCCTACGATATCAATCGACTGACCAATACCTTCATCACCGTAGCGGAACAACATCCTCCTAATGATACCAACTGTCATGCAGAAGTTGACGTCCCTGTCATTGATCATTCAGTTGGATTCCTGGAGATCGGGACATTCAACCTTTATAAGATCACATCACCCTTTTCAAGTAAGGAGGACGTGGACATATGGATTGCAAAAGTCAGGTAAATTTTGCAAGGTCATAACCTATAAAATCTTGATGAATCAGGGTAAAAAAAAGGCCTCATAACCTGTTGGGCTACGAAGGAGAGGTGAAAGTCTCTGCTACTCAATGTATGAAGAAGCAGGGTATTATACCCTACTGTCTAACAAATACTCTGCTCAGTCTGTAAGCAAACAATCAATGGATATGAGGAGGTAGGTTGATCCTCATGTGCCTCATATTGTATATATAGCCTTTTGAATTTCTTAATACAAGTCGATCAGTTGCACCTTGAATGTTCGGGGCAGACACCGCGAGAAATATAACTATGTAATCAGGCAGGGGGACCCAGATTTACAGGGGCCATTCCAGCCGCCGAGTCCCCTCATTCGCTGACTGAATTCCATGCCGCTCTGTTCTCGTGCGCAAAAAGATCCAGGGTCCTAGGGGCCCGTCCCGTCACCTTCTCCACGTCATCGTTCATACGAGTTTCAATTCCTGTCGATGCCGCAGTTTCCAGGCTCGCTAGGAGCCGAGCATAGTAGTCAGAGACCCCAAAGCTGACCAAGGCTTCATACCGCTGGTCCCCAGACAGCTTGATATGCTCGATAGGGCGGCCCAGCGCGGCGGACAGCTTCTCCGCCACCTCGTCGTAGGTCAGCAGCTCCGGTCCCAACACGCGGTAGTCACAGTTATGTGATTTCGGGTCGGTGATGGCCCGGAATGCGACCGCGGCGATATCAATGGCACTCACGAAGGGAATTTTCCCATCGCCGCAGGCCGAAAAGATCTTGCTGTGATCCCGGATGACAATACTGGGAGCTTCATCGGAGAGATTTTCTATGGGTTAAGGTGATTCCATGATTAGCTAGCGCACCGAAAGACCATGAACATAGAAGGTGCCTACCCATGAACCAACTGGGCCGAAGCACACAGTACTCAACTCCAGTGTCCAGGAAGTGTTGCCACACCATCCCCATGCCCGGCTTCGACGGCTCAGTGGTGCTGCCCCCCACCAACACAAACCTTTCCACCCCATGTTCTTTGCGTGCATAGTCAATAAACTCGTTCATAGGCTTCCAGGGCTCATCGACCAGCGGTTCCATGAGATAGATGGCTGAGATGGTTCCGCCCCCCGAAAAGCGGTACTGGAAGGGTTCCTTCCAGGTGGACTGGTCCAGCCAGTCAAATTTGACAGCCGGCATGCCAGAGGGGGCTGCAGAGGGGCCGCGACGAGAGGCCAGCAGGAAGGGAATGTTCTCATTTTGAAGGACGCGGGCTAGGCGGACTGAGGTCTTGCCTGTGCCGCCAGTAAGAAGGACATGCATAATTACTGTGTGTTTTTGTGTGTTGTTTGAAGGAAATGAGAGAGGAAAGGAGGAGTGAAAGACTCTAGATTCTGGCGGGTCGAAACCTGCAATAGGTCGACCGCCAGCACAATATAACCAAACGTATCAAAACGAGCCCGATACGCTCTACCGGCCATAGGACTTAAGACAGGCCTAACTCCGGTTTGAAAGTACCCCAGACTCACTATTTCCACAAATATACAAAAGCGTGGACTTCATGGCCGTTGATCGTTCGGATCCCAAAGACCGAACTGTGAGATGAGCCTTAAGTCCGGTCGTCCACGGATACATTCTTTGGTGACTTCAGTATGCCAAGAAATCAGGGAAAAAAATGTAGAGGCAAGCTGAGTCCCTTTTTCTTGTGAGATCCATCAAGTGTCGATATGGAAAGGATCGCTCCAGTGAAAGATGTCTGCAAACCAGCCATCGGCTGGTAGATAAAAAATGCCCTCATCTGCTTCAAGAGTACTGCTGTCTGAATGTTGATCTTTCGTAGTGGGTGGAATTACACCAGCCTCTTCAAACTTCCTCCGCCATAGAGCCATCGTAGCTCTCAAAATCTCTGCTGCTTGGGTGTACATGTCGCTCCCATCCGTGTCCATCCCAATGGCTGCCGGTACAGACCCATAAAGAGATGCGCATTGCTCGATTGATCTCAGAACGTCGATAATATGTGGTATATCGCCACGATTCCATGACGGGTCTTCCATAAGTGACAGACGGTAGAGAATATGGGTGCATCGACTAAAATGAAGATGTAGTATCATGGTGTGGGAATGAACAGCCTCTGGAGCGAAGGTGACAAAGTTTTCTATGCAGTGTTTGATAGCTTGTAGGCATGCAAAGAAGGATTCTGTCCTTCCAAAGTCGAAGCAACCCATCTGTTGGGGCATTTCTACCGGGTACAAAGGCAGCTCGTTGATCAAGGCCTCCGTGAAATACACATATGACAGAACAATTTCTATCAAGTCAGCGTAAATGGGACCCCAGGGAACCACAATCACTTACTATTCCCCAAAATCTCTGGCGGAGCAGACGATTTGATCTTATCCAGAACACCTCCCAAAGATTTGACGTGAAGGGTCCGGTGCGACTTTGTCTGCGGGCAAGGATCCTCAATCTGTCGCCAAGTCGAGACCTGATGGAGGTCGCTCTTCAATTTTGACAGCTGGGTGAGAATTACAAGTACTCTGTCCCCGGGTACTTCAGGGTGTTCGCCGAGGTCTTGCAGGCAGCCCTCCATATGCACCGTCCATTGCACAGGCCTATTTTTCAAGAACCAAGCAATCCTATGTAAAGTAAGTTGAGAGCCGCAAGCCGACAGATATATAGTGGCAATTCCCTCGGGGGGGATATCTTACGTGGTGCAGATAATGTAGCATCCAAGGACTGCTCGCCGCTCCTCATTCGTGCGGTGGTTTAACTGAACCGTTTCCTTGATGGGGTGAGAAAATGCTTTGGGTGCATCTAATTCTCGACAGGGGAACTCTCGAAAGGACCTGTCAAGTTTCAAGTCGGACAAAAGGGACATGGCGATATTGGCAAACACGGCCAGAATAGATTTACCACTGTACTTATCGGACGCCCTGAGCATTTAGCCTCTAGATCGAAGGATGATATTGACAAGATCAACTCACCAAGAGAGATAGGCGATCAGTCCAAGTAGAAGGTCCAGGTTTCTTTCTAGGTCTACCAAAACCTTTTGCGCTAACGTTTCACGAATTCTGACCTCAATGGCGCGCTGCTGTGCCACGGATTTACAACCGTTGGCCCAGACGCAAAGCCACAATAGCGGACGTTCCCTTTGCATTTGGGCAGGCCTTTCGAATAATATCAGTGAGACAACAAGTCACAATCTTCTCATGTTCAGCTTACGTTGTCGTTGAAGAAATGTAGTAAAAGGGGAAATTATTGAGGTGCTGCTGCTGAAACGTCGCCAAATATTGCTCTGCTTGAGATGTAGAAGGTTCTATCTGTGAGAGAGGGTCCGTGTTCCACGGTGTATCCTGGGCTGGTAACAAATTCTGAGAGGCTCGAGGGGCAAGAGGCTTATTCCTGGGCCCTTTCTGGCCAGCCCAATGTTCAGCAGGTTGAGTTGCAAATTTTGAGCGTGCCAGTGGTGCACTATCCGGAGAAGCACTAGAATCCCCAGAAGCTTGTGATTCTAATAGGTCCACAAGATCATCAAGTCGCTCTTCGAGATGTGCTGTCCTGTATGCTGTTTTCCGGGAAAGCCGTTTCCGCACCACAGTCGATGGCTCACATTCTTGCTTCAAACGATGACATCGCTCGCAGTTGAGCCCCGGTCCTCTCAATATGCACTTGCATTTGGCCTTATAGCAGCCTGCACATGCTCGGCCGTACGAGGCGGACTCTCGAACCTTGAACGTGGCTTTTTTGTCGTTCATGAAAAGGCTTACCCTGATATTTGTGGAGACAGGGTGTTCCGAGACAAATCCCGGGAGAATTTTCACAAGATCTACAGACAAGGTTAATCATCAAGGTGCTCAAATGTGCAAACGAGAGTAAAGGTAAGGGGGAACGGCGGGATTCACCACGGACCTTTATTATTCCGGCTCCGATCTATAGGACTACTGTCAGGACGGCGGGATTGGCGTCCGACGCATAACAGTGATTGGATACTCTATATTATATTAGCTCTTTGGTTCTAATTTTTAGCTGAAAGTGATACACCTACGGTGGAATTCACAATTAATAAATGTATTAAAGCAAGGCTTGAGGGCATCGCCCAAGATGAACCGAACCAAATACTGCTGGAAAACATCTCGATCTAGCTGTCCTCAAATCATTAAGCTAAAATGACAGATCCAGCCCCAACCCCAGCTGAGATCTCCCTATACACCACCACAAAACACACTTCGGACTTTCAACCTGCATCTGAAGACGGTGCCCCTGAGGATTCAAGTTGTTCAACAGACCTTGCGAAGAAAAATTTGGAGAAAAATCCTTCTCTTGCGAAAAATGACGAACGAGAATATCTCACCGGCCTCAAGCTTCTGTTCGTGCTTTCTGGGGTTACCTTGGTTTGCTTTTTGGTTATGCTGGACACCTCCATTATTTCAACCGTGAGATCCCGTTTGCCCTTCTTCCCTAACTCCTTTTGACACTCGACAGGCAATCCCTAGGATGACCTCAGAGTTTCATTCTCTTGGTGATATTGGATGGTATGGCAGCTCGTATCAAATGGCTAGGTAAGTCTTTTCGAAACTAGCTTATTTGTCAGAGAACTCATTTAAGTTCGCATCTCAGTGCTTGCTTGCAGCCTCTTGCAGGTCGGGTCTTCTTTAACTTCAGCACCAAGGTAGATCTCTCAAAACTCCCTGCACCCAATCAATTCCATGATCAATCAAAACTAACCACAATAGCAGTGGACCTTCATGGGCTTTTTCTTCGTCTTCGAACTCGGCTCACTACTCTGTGGCATTGCAAATTCTTCCAAGATGTTTATTATCGCTCGCGCAGTCGCTGGAATTGGGTCTGCCGGCTTGATGAACGGTGCTCTAACCATCATATCGTCTTGTGCTCCACTGCACAAATCTCCACGTGAGTGACTAATAATTCCTGAGTGATAGGTGCTTGCTAACACACAACAGGTCTTATCGGGGTAATGATGGGCTGTCAGTATCCCCCATACAGAAAGATCAGTATGTTCGTTAATAAGGAATATAGTGTCTCAGCTTGGTACCATTGGTGGGCCTTTGCTCGGAGGTGCTTTTACAGAGTACTTAAACTGGAGATGGTGTAAGTAACTGAAAACCTGTGCTTCGAGCTCATTACTAACCGAAGTTCTTGGAAGGCTTTTACATCAACCTCCCGGTAGGTGCTCTGGTCGCGATCTTTCTTTCTTTTATCAAAATCCCCGACCAGGTCGCCAAGCCTTCAATAAGATTGGCGCTCGATACAATCATTCATCAACTTGATTTGATAGGGTTCGTCCTCTTCTCGCCTGCGGCTCTACAGCTCCTCCTTGCATTGGAATATGGCAAGAACAATAATTCATGGGGAAGTGCGACTGTGATTGGTTTGTTTAGCGGCGCTGCCGCCACATTCATCATCTTCCTGCTCTGGGAGCATCGCCAGGGAGATCAAGCGATGATACCACTGAGGTTGGTTGCAAGAACGCCAGTTTGGACTAGTTGTCTTGTCATCATGGCCATTTTTGCCATCACGCTTTGCAGCTCCTACTATCTACCCATCTATTTCCAGGCTATAAAAAACAACTCTCCAATGATGAGCGGTGTCTCAACGCTCCCCGGTATATTATCTCAACTGCTTGTCGCAGTAGCTTCGGGTGTTTTGAGTAAGTCAATTTGTTTGCTGTGAATATATGACCGATTATTGACACACGTCTTAGTTGAAAAGATGGGATACTATCTCCCGTGGACCATTTTTGGTGGGGTTTTCACTTCCATTGGCAGTGGACTTCTTTCAACCTTGAATCCAGACACTCAAATTGGAAAATGGATTGGATATCAAATACTCTCTGGTGCAGGCCGAGGGGCTGCGTTTCAAACAGTAAGTTTTCCCTTCCACACGAAGTACGAGCAACATCATTGATTAACAGTATCACAGCCCCTCATTGCTGTTCAGAATACAATCCCTCATGCTCAAGTGTCAATCGCCATGTCGATTCTGATGTTCACCCAAACACTTTCTGGTGCAATCTTTCTCACTGCAGCAAGTGCGATTTTTGACTCGGGGTTGAAATCGTTTGTACCCGAGTACGCACAAAAAGTCGACCCCCAGACTATAATATCAACGGGTGCTACCGGCATTCAAGATGCGGTATCTAGTGGTGACCTTTCCGGTGTCTTGGTGGCTTATTCAAAAAGTATTAGTTATGTTTTCATTATGTCTGCTGCAGTTGGTGTGCTCATCGTGGTCTTCTCGTTTGGAATGGGTTGGAAAGATATCCGAAGAGGAAAGTCGGCCCCGGAAAAATGATAAGGGAGCTATGTGAGGGCTCTGTGCGTTTATGGTATAGAATTCGGCCACCCTGGGCGCCGAACATAGCGGTGAGCTTCCCGGACTATATAGAATCTAAGATCTTCATATATATATTGTTTTTTTACTATCTTACCTTCCAAAGTTATCAAGAACCTCTCACAGAATACCGTCATCCCTCAAGTAGTTCTTGCGTCGACATTATGTGCGGCCATCTCGCCTTCTTTGGGGGATGGAGCTATCTTGGCTAGTCTGATGACTTTGTATATATAGCCAACCGAGTTTATAATAAATGTGGGTAATATGGAGAAGAGAAGTAGAGAAGACGACAAGAAGTCGGGAAAGAGAGTAGTTAGTTCCACAATTTCCCTAAGCACCCGATCCAGTCATGTTGCTACATTACTGACCTTAAATGGTTTAAATATTCTTAGATATTCTTAAACAATCATGATTCCGATATAATGGTATGATAATAGTTGCGTATGCGGCCCGACTATGCCTTTTTAGTATTGAAATGTCTTCTTGGATGTGCTTTTGTGTCTCTTCCCCCATGTTATTATTAGATGATAAACTAGATCGCCCTTAAATGTAGAATATGGTGAAAAGGGTGTAAATGTGATTTAGCTATGTAGTCATGTAGACTTGCATGTATTGTAATCAGCAAAGTCGTGGTCGCATCAATAGAAGCTGTGAAGACCATCGGCTATGATATATATATGCCGGTTGATCATACAGATGCAAAGAACGCAACAGCCTAGTGGGCCCACGTATACCCCTGCTAGAGGTCGCCCTACTTTTAAAATAGATTGGGTCTCACTGCATAGTCAAAAGGACTTGCCAAGTACTTCTTGGCTACGAGCAGGATTCCCTACTTAAACCATCGTACCATTATATCTTGATCTCCTTAAATTTTTCCAGGAGCATCTGAACGTCTTGCTATCTTACCTTGGTTTGATTTTTCACCATGTCGTCCAACTCTAAGCCGTCCAGGTATATCCATCCAAGACTGTGGTGTATTTACCACTTTTGTGACTCTTGCTAACTTTGAAACAGGTCGATCTTCGCAAAGCCACCAGTCAAGATCATCGTGGGCAGTGACAAGCGCGTTTACTATGTCCACCGTGGAACGCTTGAATTCCACCCCGCATTCGATGCCCGGTTGAAGGCGTCAACTGACGAATACGAGTATGCGATTGATTGGTCTGCTTTTGATGAGCAGACCGTTGATTGTGTATTGAGCTTCCTTTACACTGGAGGGTACCAGGTACCTCAAGCGACCTCTGTGGCAGTTGAGGAAAATCAGGCAGATGCGGGGGAAGAGGCCCCAGCGCACGGAGAAGGAGAAGAAGAAGGAGAAGAAGGAGAAGAAGAAGAAGAAGAAGAAGAAGAAGAAGTGGTACTACATGAGGCAGAAGAAGCGGATGAAGATGCCGGTAAGAAATTTCTTCTATATCATTTCATCTCATTATGAAAATGAATGAGACACTAACATGAATCAGCCAATGCAGAACCACCAGCATCACCAGTTGCAAGGTCACCATCGCATGCTTCATGGCCACCATCCCCGCCTTCAAGGTCTCCTCCACCACCCGAAAGCCCACAGTCACAAGCTTCATGGCCAAACTCGCCAGCTCCAATGTTCGCTGTACCTGCAAGGTCGCCATCACCAGTTATCGACTCATCTATAGCCCCAGACTCGCCACCATCCGAGGCCCTATCCGACTGCGACATAAATGACGGGGCCTTGACACCGTTGGAACACTGCGATGGAGTGACTCTAGCCACAGAGAACGCCTCGGCATCAAAGGTCTTGGACCATGAAAGGCAAGAGCAATATCAAGAAGAAGAGCCAGAACAAGAAGCCGAGGGAAATAGCGCTGCTGAGATTTATTTCCACGCCAAAGTCTATTCCTTCGCACGTCAACTCGACTTTGAGAAATTGGAGCAATTTTCTCTGAACCGTCTGGCCCAGGTTCTTGTTGCCCTGGAGCAAACCGACAAAGTCCTGTTCCCCTACTTGGTGGATGCAATCCGACTGATCTACCAAACGACCGGTATTGCGGACGATGCGAGGAACTTGCTATCTCAGTTTGTGGCACTGCGATACACCACGCTGGTTGGTGAGCACCTGGACGAACTTATCGCAGAGGGAGGGGAGTTTGTGGTCGATTTGTCGCATAAGCTTGCCCGGAAGCTGACAAATATCTCAATGGTGTTCAAGAGAGTTGAATACCTTACTCACAAGAACGAGGAGTTGAAAGCAGGAAGTGCAGAGAAAGATAAAGAGCTGAAGGCTTTGAGAGACGAGGTTAGGCGGGGACCGGCACAGGGCTTTCCGACTTTCACGTATCAGATTTGAAGTTGATAGACAGATATAGTACACAGTAATTCTTCAGTGTGTTATTGATAGAGCTCTTATTTCTCTTCTCAATCTCTGGTGGGAAATATCTACTCCAAGAGGGAAATTTGATATCTAGCTATTTAGGAACGAGCCTGGTGAGCATTATGTACAGAGCCCACCATCTCCCGATTATAATACTTCATTTCACATTTTATTGTCACTTTATTGCCTCTTTTTTTAATGCCATTTAAGTCTATCAAAGATTGCCAACACTTTTCTGTCTAGCACAAATGACTATACACTTGATGTAGTATAGAGAATTATGGTCGATATCAAAGCGGTCTGTGCAACCAAGGGATAACCTTGGAATCTTTCAGGCTTACATTCTAGAAATTTCAGCCTTTATTGTCGTTAACTTTCTAATGTTGTCTATAACTTGTAACAGCCTCACGGTTCATACGGGTACCTGACCCTCTCCGACGTCATTGGTGCGATCGTCGATCTTAGCGTCCGATCAAGCTTCTGTGGGGTCAACGGACTTACATCCGAGACACTTCACGATGATCTTGCTGATCCCGCGATTTCTACGCGTACGAACGCTCTTGGCAGCCCTGACACTCGTTATTTTTCTCACCTGGGCAATATTGGGATTCAAAGTGTACATCCCCAAACCTACCATCTCGTCACCACAGGCCATCACAAGCCTGACACACTCACATAAACAATTCTGGCGGGAGTTCCACGCCTTGTTAGAGAAACACGCGCCGAACACAGAGCCTATCATCGAATATGAGAAGGCATCGACAGTAGGTTTCAATGCTCACAATGCACCTATACGCCCAGATACCCTCTACGTTCCGGCGGAAGACATCATCACCGTGAAAGAAGCGCATGCCGGGTTCGTCAATGCGATCACCAACTCCCCACCCGAGCTCCCCTACATCCACGGCACAAAAGGCATAGTCTCAACAGCAGGGGGTTTCTATCTCCCAGTGCTAGTGATATCCCTCCGCATGCTCCGCCGAACGGGCTCCACGCTCCCGATGGAGGTCTTTCTCTCCGACGAAGACGAGTACGAGCCCTACATATGCGATGAAGTCCTACCTTCACTGAACGCGCGATGCGTAGTCCTATCCCGAATACTCATCGCCGCCCCAGCCCGAATCCAGAAATACCAATTCAAGCCCTTCGCAATGCTCTTCTCATCCTTCGAAGAGATCCTCTTCCTAGACGCAGATGCCTTCCCCCTCGAGAAACCAGAGCAACTTTTCACCACCGAGCCCTTCCTCTCCAACGGAATGGTCACATGGCCCGATTTCTGGGCCTCCTCTGTCTCCCCAATCTTCTACGATATCGCAAACTACCCACCTCCACCAATGGACCTGCGCCAGTCAACAGAATCAGGCGAGGTCCTCGTCTCCAAAAGATCTCACCTCCGCTCCCTCCTTCTCACAACTTACTACAACTACCACGGTCCCTCACACTACTACCCTCTCCTCTCACAAGGCGCCGCGGGCGAAGGCGACAAGGAGACCTTCGTCGCAGCCGCGACCGCCATGCACGAATCCTTCTACCAAGTCAGCGAGTCTATTTGTGCTCTCGGACACGGAATAAACGGTGGCATAGCCGGCTCCGCAATGGCGCAGTTTGATCCCGTGCAGGACTTTGCCCTAACCAATCGCGGGATATGGCGTGTCAAAGGCAATGAAGCCCCCGCACCACCCGTCTTCTTCATACACGCCAACTTCCCCAAGTTTAACCCTGCCACCGTCTTCGAGCCCCATGAGGTTAATCCCGCATTTACAGATGAGGGTACTTATACGCGGGCCTGGACGCTGCCGGTAGATGTTGTACGCGGGTTTAATAGTAATGTTGATGTTGAGAAGGGGTTTTGGGAGGAGATTCTTTGGACGGCTTGTAAGCTTGAGGATAAGTTTCAGAGTTGGGTTATGTATGAGGGGATTTGTGATGGGGTGAAGGATTACTGGCACACTGTCTTTGGGGAGGATTGATTGTATGTGTGAACTACATGGCATGATAATTTGAACCACCCCCTGGACCCAATAGGCATTATCGATCTTTACATGCGTCTTCACCGGGAAGCATAAGGAATGTCTTCCTCCCGGCTGCTGAATTCACTTGCCCATAATGCCTTGTGCAAGGCAGCGATAGGACAGCCGTGAAATAATACATTTGCATTTTGCATTCTGGCTCGCATATCCCCTCGCCGGAGCTGTGTTCAGACTTAGCTCTCACGGCAATAATCTGTTGCACAAGGAGGACTGTCCCATCGAAAGGCTAGTCCAAAAGGTCTACTTAATAACTGCAGCTACAAACGAAGTGTCTACACTGAGTTAAAAGTATAAGGTATACACAAAGAAGGAAATTCACGGCAGTAATTCAGGGTTTCTTTCTACTTTCGATAGATACTTGTATCCCGAGAATCTCCTCTATAGAATCGCAACGCTGCAAGGAATTCATCTGCCTCCGCATCTTCCCCTTAAAGTCATCTTGGTTCTTCTCGTAGGGTCCGAGAATTAGCCTGATTTTTCTCTTCTAATCACTGCTAGCCTCAGTGTAATTGATATGGATGCTGTCCCCAGGTGAAGTGTTGTTACTCCACGCATCTGATTGTATGCAAGGCGAAGTGCGACCATATCGTGGTAGGCATTGTTAAGGCCCTTTAGGGTCCTCCTTTTATCCACAGGAAGACTTATTAGGGCCAAACGATGCCGATCAGTATCATCTGGCGGGGTAGTGTCGGCAAACACCTCCTATCTTTTCAGCATCTCTTTCGTCCCACGACCGATATGCTCGTCGGTGTTGTACTGCTCTTTGGGCCGAAGCTGGAGATCCGAACGAGCATAGTCGTGGATCGGCTGCTCGATAAGCGAAGGGATGGGATTCATAGCAGATGTAAACATGCCCCAGTGCCGCGCGAAGAGAGAACGGAGCTCGGGGTCTGGGCAACTAGTGGTCCAATATAACTCGTGGGTGTGGATCGATCCTCTACCCTGCCACTCGGCATCAAGAGTCGCGAACATCGAAAAGACGATTCAAGACCTTCTCCCGGAAGATCACAAGGCGGATATCAAGCCACTGCACGATGTTATGATGGTTTTCTTAGAGGGAGAGGAAGGTGAAGAGAAGGAGAGAAAGGAAAAGAAAGGGGAGGAGTTGACTATATATACCCAGGTGCTACCTAAGGAAAGAGCGCGTGATATAAAGCAGACACCTAGTATTATCTCCACATCACATTCCCTTCACACATCTCCTTCACATCTCCTTCACTTTATATCCACTTCGCCTTCAAATTTGTATAAGAAGGCTTCTTCGTGACCCAGTCATATGTTATATAAAAGCTGTCAGGATATTTATAATCTCTTCACATTCTCTTTTCGAAGTCCTTTCAAGTGTCCTTCCAAGTTTCCTTTTCGAGTGTCTCTTTTCCCACGTCAGTGCTATAGCCAGAAGGATGGATGATACTATCTACAACGGAGTCCCGTTTTGGATCTTAGGGCTCTTCCTCTGTTCAACTTAAGAGGCCCCACACAGTGCAAATACACGCAACTTCTATCTCCCGCTTGTCGCCATGTACAGGAAGTGGTGCATTAACGCTGGCAGTCACCCTCCCACCGTGTTTAATTGCACCTGGATAAATTCTGGTCAAGGCCAAGGCAGATTCTTTCTCAGAGGGTCGCGTCGCTCAAAGCCTACGAGGTGTCAACCCTTCAGATTAACACCCACTATTCTCTCGTCCGCGAATCCCTCACTAAAAGATTGCTGAGTTGAATACTATGAATTTGCCAGTGCCCACTCGAATTGGAGGTTGATTGGCGTTCCTCCCGTCCCGTGGAAACCCGCGTTGCATGCAATTCGAACGTGCTTCGCTCAATTATCGGCCAGCTGTGTGGCCACGAATAAGGGCGGCCTTAGTGGCTGTGGTCCTACGCAGGCTGTAATTTCTCTTCGAATGTAGCGAAGTGTAGTCCTTCGAACGCTCCCGAATCCGCGCTTCCTAAGTGGTTATTTAAGCTCGTTCGGCTGCTTAACCCCTCGAACCCCTACGGGCGAAGTGTGCCATGACTTAATTATTGGTTAAGATTGCTAGCAGCAATTTGGTCATCCAGAGTAAAATCAATTCACTGCTATTAATGTTTGTTTTTGTCTCGTCTTCTATTGACACAGCTCATCCCTGAACAAGATCAAACTACCCAGCGTATTTGACAAAGAACCGACCCGCCTCATCATACCTGTCTTCAGGGAAGTATATGAGGGAACACAACATTATGCATGACGCAGCCAGGAATTCGAAGATAAAGACAATATGAAATGGTCTAAGGAGCATACCAAGAGTCGACAATGACAAACCCTCCCAGACACCTTTGATATCCATATTCCTGATCTGTCTGCGATGGTCTTGCAACGGGGTCAGGGAAACAGCGACACGGATAAAAATAGCATACGCCGGGACCATAGCCCCGAAGTAAAGGATTCCAAATATGGCAAAAGCAATGTAGAGTGCAATGTTGCTTGAGACTATAGTGAATTCATGATTCACAAAGCCCAATGTACGGATGGCAAAGATGGTAAGGTAAAAGCACGAGTTCCAAGCTGTGCTATACAATAAAGTAGCCGGGAAGATATCGAACCATATTGACTCATTGAAGATGCGTCGGTGCAGAGGGATTTGCGGGTGTAAATTGAGAACGGTATGCACGTTGGATACCTTGAGAGTTGAAAGTAACAAGTCTGATATCACGCTCAGGAGAAAGCACTTCATGACATTGGAGCCAGTTGCCGGGAATAAGGAAAGAAGAGAACACTTCAATAACCGATGAAGGGCAATGATTGGCAAGCCTCGGAAATTCTGTAGGGAGAATATCCACCGTTCTGCCCTTGGTGTGGAGGATGCGAGGAATGTCGCAGTGACGTTCCTATCCACATATGCAGCCTTCAAATAGTCAATGCGCCATTCTATGCATTCTTGTTCATTTCTCTTTCAGGTGGAAACTTACTAGGACAAATCCAACCGCTGCAGTGGCCAAGCCTAGCCGAAGAAGTTGTACATTGATCGCATTTTTGCTGACATGTGAATATTCGCTGAGATAGTCGTCTCCGGTGAGATCCGAGGACATAATTGAGAAGTGTGATCACCTGGCTGGTTTGTGATTAGACACGCACGAATGGAGTGAAAGTGAGATTTGATATTGAAGATATCAAGAGGCTGTGACTCCTAAGCCAAGGAAGATTTTAGGGCATAAGTGCATGTTGACAGAGAATATGGCCTATCATTATTATTGGGCAATAACAGCTTCTAGTCAACTCCACTAGTTTGGGGGCGCAAAGCTTGCGGGAATGCGTGCTCCACTATCTCAAGCCCAAGAGAAGAACTACAAAGTACTCCGTATTAGTGCTTTATTTTGCAAGGCCCTCTATCTAGCCCGATATAAGATTCCAAAAATCATTTCTTTAATATATAGTATACAGTATACAGAGTCTATAGTACATAGCCAGATCCACAATCTCTACTCCACCTTCAACCCATTCCGCCGCGCCGCCTCAATAGCCTCAATAAACAAAGCTTTACAAGGGACCGAGCTACCAAGTCTGGCGCAAAGCAAGAAGGCCCCACTCAACTTCCGATGCAGCGAGTACGTCTCCTCAGGCGGTGGCGCCAGTCGTTCCCGAATCATAACTGGAATAAACTCGCGCACGCGGTCCGTAATCGTCTGGTTACTGAAGTCGTACAAATCCGGCGAGGAAAGCATGAACGGCTCCGCGATCGTTATGATCGAGCTCACGTGTGCGTCGACCATTGCTTGCGATTCCATTCCTGTCAGATACCCCAGTTCGATGGAGAGGTCGTGGCAGGTTTTGCGATCGTTACGGGAGGCGGCGATTAGAGTGCGCACGTAGGTTGTTATGAATTCTTCCGGGTAGGCGCGGGAGGCGCCGAAGTCCAGGAGTTCAAGTTTGTTCGTTGACGCGTTGTAGAGGAAGTTGGTCCAGTTCGGGTCGGTTTGCATGTAGTGGAATTCGGCGATCTCGCGGAGGCAGAGGCGCATTATTTGTGTGCCGATCCAGTCGCGTTGCGTTTGGGTGAAGTCTGTTACTTTGGTTACGGCTACGCCATCTAGCATTTCCATTGTGAGGACTTGTTTGCCTGAGGCGTGGGCGATTATTTCCGGAACGATAAAGACCGGATCGTCGGCTAGGAGCTCGCGGAAGCGGTTGGCGCCTTCGGCTTCGCGGATGTAGTCGCACTCCCATGCTAGCTCAGTGCGCGCGTTCGCGATTGTTTTGTCGAGGAACAGGCCCTTGGGGAGGAGACGGGAGGCTGTTAGGAGAATTGAGAGGTTGTTTAGGTCGCTGTCGATGGAGTCGGCGACGCCTGGGTATTGAACTTTAACGGCGACGGGTTGGCCGGTGCTTTTGAGGACGGCTGAGTGCACTTGGCCGATTGAGGCTGCTGCCATAGGGACCTCGTTGAAGGTGGTGAAGAGGTCGCGCCAGTTAGGTCCGAGGTTATCGGTAAGGACTTTGTCGCGCTGCCAGGCGGGCATGTAGTCTGCGCGATCTTGCACGCGTTGGAGGACTTGCTGGATTGGTTCGGGGAGCATGTTGGAGTCTAGAGAAATTAGCATGGGCATTAGAGATACCAGTGAGGTACATGATACAACGCACCTTGGATGCTCAGCATCTGTCCCAGCTTGAGAGCTGCGCCACGCATTTTTGACAGCTTAGCTACCATTCGTTCCATGTTACCAGCACTGAACATAATCGACCCATTGTCCTGGCTGCCAGTGGCCCGCCGTAAACCTTCCCCGACAGCGCCAAATGCCATTGAGGTCGCTAGGCCACCGTACTGCCACAGTCTGCCCAATCGAGAGGACGGCACACGCGACTCCAGCATCTGGTACGCTTGTTGTTTCTTGGGCTCGCTGAGGGTGGCCGCACTGGGCACCACGTCTTCAGCGACAATGGCCGCAAGTTCCTCCATCTCCTGAGCTTCAGATTTCGGGGCCACCGGGGAGATTGGTTTAGCGACATTTACGATCGGCTGCTGAGGCTTTGCGGCCAGCTTCCAGTCCCTCTTCGGCGGCGGCTTTCCGGATATCATGCGCGACACTCTCGGGCTGTGGAAAAGACCCTGGATCATCTCGTCTGACATCTCCTGCTCGACCGGAGCAGGCTTTTTTGAGTCAACAGGCGAGTGGAAAACATCCGCATTCAATCCATCACTACCAACTTGAGCATCGCCTGCGACCTTGGGTACCTTCACTCTCGGGAGTCCCGAGAGATTCAGCTCCGACCGAAGCGATGGCTCATAGAAGACATCCTGCTGCTTGTTCACATCCAGAGCACTCGGTTTCTCATTGCCGCTGTATGTTGCCGCCGAAGCCGGGATCTGCGATTCGGCCTGACGTTGCAGTTTGCGGGCGAGGTCGGGAGGTGGCGATGTCGCAGTGCTGGCGGGCGGCTTATCGGCCGTCGTCTCGGGGAAGTCTGCCGGGCTCGGCGAAGGTGGTTGCGAAGGTTCGTCAAATCGGCGGGCCAATGCGGCGGCGGCTTGAGCGGTCAGGATCAGGCCCTCGGTTTGGGCCTTGATCCCCTTCGTTAAGGAGGATGTGCGTGTGTAGACATCTAGTTGATGTTGCCGGATGGCCAGATGTTTGGCTGCGACCGTTTTGGACACATTGAGGAATTGGAGGGCGTCTAGCAGACGCTTACCTGACATGGTTGTGGAGAAGACTTTAGTTCATGACGGGGAAATAAGATTAAAAAAAAAAAGGATCAGCAAGATAGTGCCTAAGCCCAAAAACAGTTTAATAATGCGAAACAGTCAAGCTGATAGGGAGCTCTCGGACGTGTGCGGCCTCCGACCTGCCCGCTTTTTTTTTGCCGATCGGCGAGCTTCTTTCTATAAGACACTCCGCACCCTCTAGATCAGATAATACTTCAATTCTCACCTATTAAATCTGTACTCTATACAAATTACATATACTATACCTTACATATTTGTTAAAACTACACTATGCTCATCAAAGACACACAAGACCTCGAAGCTGAGGTCGCCCTCCTCGAGTCGCGCCTCCAAGATGCCCGCGCTCAACTAGCAGCCTCCGAATACCCCAGCCCACCCTCTTCATGGGTCGTTAAAGGTAGGCAAATTATACCTCCAATACCGTATACATCTAGCTAACCCCACATAGAGCCATATAATAATACCAATAATACCAAACTCACCTCCGCAACCCGCACATCCCTCCACGCCCTCCTCCTCCTCTCAGACTCCGCCCTCCCACTAGGCTCTTTTGCCTACTCCAGCGGACTGGAGTCTTACCTAGCACACAACAAATCCTCTCGCACAACCGCAATAAGCTCCTTCCACCGCTTCCTCAAACTCTCCATCGCCTCAATCGCAAGCACATCCCTCCCCTACGTGCTAGCCGGGTATCGACACCCTTCAACCCTCGACACACTAGACAACGACCTGGACGCATCAACGCCATGTATCGTCGCACAGCGCGCAAGCATTGCCCAAGGACGCGCCCTCATCGGCGTCTGGGAGCGCGCGTTCAGAGTCAGCTTCGCGGGGAACCCGGTTTCGGAGGATGCCGAGGCCGCCGCCACTGCTATTGATGATCTCTCCGATGCATTGAAGTCTTGTCTTGAGGAAGACGAGGATCTCGGTCCCAAGGGCCACTTTGCCCCGCTGTGGGGTGTGGTTTGTCGGGCTATGGGTCTGGACTTGCAGCAGACGGCGTATGTCTTTGTTATGAATCATGCTAAGGCTGTGCTTAGTGCGGCAGTTAGAGCGGGTGTCATGGGCCCTTACCAGGCGCAGAATGTGTTGGCTAGTCAGGAGCTGCAGGATACGATGATGAAGCGCATTGGGCGCGAGTGGGATACGCCTGTTGAGCAGGCTGGACAGGTTGTACCTGCGCTGGATCTTTGGGTTGGCAGACATGAATTGTTGTATAGTCGGATCTTTAACTCATGAGAATATGACAATATCAAGAATCAAGAATCAAAATTTTTTTTATAATGGGAGGCATTGAAGTCATAGGGGCATGGAAAATCCTCACATTGCATTCGTCATGTTCCTTTGTACTTTTTTTGCTCCGTACACGGTAGTCCTACATGACACAAGAATCTAGAATAGCTCAGCCTCTTGAGGAAAATCAGTGTGCGCCGGCCTCTCCTCCAGAGGGAATGACGAACGACGCCCCTGCGCCTTGAGGAAACCCACCATTGCTTTGGTTTGTAATGGGGAAAAGAGGAAAAGAAGAAAGACAATAAAAGATGCCCCGAGTTAGGGCTGACCGTGCATAACTCGTCAAACGCCGGCCCAAACCAGACCTGCACCTGCTAAATCACACAAAAAAACACCACACCATGAACCTGTCCGGATAGGACACACTAAAAAAAGATAGGCGTAAAGAGGAAAGCATCGAAAAGAAGATATAATACAGGAGATTTGTAGGTCGATCAGAGGGTGATATGCATGTGGTCGTTGCTTCCGAAGGATTTGCCGCAGTTAGGGCATTTGCGAGAGCGAGACGTCAGACGCTCTTCGACGCAATCTTTGCAGAATACATGGCCGCATGTTTTGATCGCCGTGTTTTTGAAGTTGCGACGGCACACTGTGCACAGTGCAAGTGTCTGAAGGGGGTTAGCTTTGGTTTATTAACAAATGTGGGAATTCAACATACCCGCAGCATTTCATATTCTGAGGACGAATTGCCAAGACTCTTGTTCTTCCAGTTGTCCAGACTCTTCTTGGTGTCTGAAAGCGACTGTTTCAAGCCGGCAACCTCTGTTTCGGCTTGCCGCAAAGCAGAAGTGGTGCTTCCCAGTGTCGAGTCCTTGGATATTGAAATCCCCTTGAGTTCGGCAACCTGTTGTTTCAATCCTTCCGTGAGGATGTTGCTCTCGGTCAGCTGCTGCTGAATGGCCCGATATTTGTTCAGGGTTGCATTTAGTGCCTCCTTGGTCTCGCTGACTTGCTTGTCCATGTTGGACACCAATGACCGGGTGGTTGCTTCAGACTCCTTCAGCTGGGAGACAATATCTGACGTCTTGGAGCTTTGCATTCTGAGCGTTCGGACTTCGACATCCCGAGCCTCTTTGGTTTTCATTGCAGAAAAGAACTTTTGATCTGCCTTAGACTTCTCCGCCGTCAGCCGTGCGACCTTCTCTTCCATAGCCCCAAAATCAGTGACTTTCTGCGATGCAAGAGTAGCAAACTTCGTGTACGCCGTCTGCATCGATGTTAACTCGGTGTTGAGCATGGAGTACTGGCGTTCCAAGCTGGTGTACTTGGCGCGAAGCTCCTCCAGCGGCATTTCGTTGATATTTTCGTCCGACTTGGAGCCCTCAATCTGCAGTCGCAACCTTTGACTTTCGGACTCTAAAGCTGTGATTCGGGCCTCTCTAGCATCTGCCAGTTCTTGCAGTTTCAGACTAGAAGTTTTCTTCTGATCTTGCGCGGCCTTTCGCATCTGCTGGTCGGCCAGAAGTTCGTCGCGGGCATTCCGTATCCGGGCAAGATCCGTTTCAGCCCTCATCAACTGAGCTTCTTTCTCAGCAATCGTACTTTGAGTTTCATCCTCCACCTGAATCTTGTATGCGGTTCTTTCTGAGCGGTATTTCTCTGCTTCCTCGCGAAGTTGAACATTTGTTGCTTCCAGATGGTTGATTCGCTTGACTACATCGTCGTATTGTGATCGAAGGTGTTTAAATAAATCAGTGTGGGCGTAATCGTCGTCGGTGAACTTTGAAGACTGGAATCCCGATGTGAGCGACAAAACGACAATGTAACGATGGGGTGGATCCAACCTTGACTTTGATTTCGGTAATTTGTCCGAGTAGGCTGGCATTTTCGGCTTCCAGTTTCCGGACTTGCTCCTTTTGTTTCTCCGAAATTGCAGTGAGCTTGTTATTGGCTTCTTCCAACTCGGGGTTGCGGTCTCCAGCGGGGGTTCCTCCATTTGCGGGAGACGATTCTTCACGCTTTGATTGTGCCGTTTCTCCAGGTCGTTGAATACCCATAGACTGCTGCTTTTCCAATTTTGCAACAGTCAAACTCTTCGCACGATCAAGTTTTTTTTCGGCTACCAGATACCGCAGCGAGGCTTCTTCGAGGCTTTCCTCTAACTGTTGCTTTTCGGCTAGGGTTTTTTCGAGTTCCGCGATCGCTACTTTTTCTTCGGCCAACTTCTTTGCAAGGCGAGTCTGTACCTCTGAAAGATCGGCAGGCGCATCGGTAGACTTAGACTGGACTTGAGAAATTATTGCGCGAATATCCTCCGACCGTGATTTCAGATGCGTCTCAAACTCTTCAACGTCTTCGAATTGTAAGGAGCTTTTAAAGGAGTTGTCTGGGATTATTGTCAATATTGGCATAACGAGGGTGATGTGGGGCTAAAACAATGGCACTGACCTTGGTCTTCTGCTTGCGATGACCCAAGTAGCAATTTCACTTCATCAATTAACTGTTATGAGATTAGTTACTGCCCCCAGATTATTCTCAAGTCGACTGAGATAAAGAAATGGGAACATGCCTGTTTGAACCACAAATCGATAACGCGGAGATGATCATTGTGGAACGTGGCAGCCTTTGACATCTGGCTCAAACGCGATTCCAGTGAGGATTTCTCCCGCTTATACTCTTGCATCTGTCGCAAAATCGCTTCTTTTTGAAATCGCTGTCGCAAAGGGTCCGATTAGCATATACCCAACAGGAGACCAAAAGCAAACCTCCGAATTGCGGAGTAAACCCAAAACACGAACTTACCTCCAGATCATCTTTCCATGGCATATCGGCATCCGGGTGAGGCTTGCTGCCACCGTTAACACTAGTAGCCTGTTTCTTCAATGGCGGAGCCGAGTCATTGCTGTCCGCAGCGGGCCTCTTCCGGTCTTCCATCTTGACAAGACCAGGCTCTGAAGACGGGACGGGGGGTTCGACGGCCGGCATCAGTGGCTACACTGGGATGGGAGGGCTATTATCACCACCGGACCGTCCGTCAGTCAGCCAGACGCAGATCTCGCGACTGTGTCAATCCTGTCGAAGGAGAGTCCGGTAGAAGAAGAAACAGCGAGTAAAAGAAAGCGAAAGAAGTGTAAGTATAGGAAGGGCGGGCCAGCAGACGATAGAAGGGGTGGGATGGCAGAGATCGAGGAGTTGAAGACAGGAGGATTTTCAACGAGGTTTAGCGTCCGCTAGTGTCATCACGTGATTATCGCCCACTTCCCCGGCCTGGAACTTTTTACGATCTTCATCAATCCACACCTTACAGCAATGGGCAGCCATGAAGTCGTTTTCCAGTTCTGCAATCAGTGAGTTTTATCTGAGCTGGAAGCATACCTTTGCGATCTCTAACTCTGTGTTTGATAGATAAAACCGGCAAGAAATTCGCCCCGAAGGCGCCTATCCGCCGTGCGCCCGCCGCCGCGCCCGCGAGACGACCTAGTGTTGTTCAGCAGTCGCCAGCCGAACCTGTTCAGGAAAACAAAACCAAAGATGTAGCTGACTCTAGTGTGACGCCTTCTGCGGCTGTAGTGCCGGAACCACGGGCAGTCACAGAGGACTCACCCGCATCAGTTGCTGCGCCTACCACAGAACAAACACCCATTGCTTTGGACACCACAGCTGCTCCCCCGATTGCTGCTCATGTTAGTGCTGTCACCACTACCATCGCTACAGAGATCGTCACACCTACCGCGACACTCATCGCCAAGCCGACTCCGATCCCCAAGCCGACTACAATCTCGAAACCCACTCCGATCCGCAAGCCAATTGCCATCTCGAAGCCAACTCCTATCCCAAAGCCGGCTGCGAACCCTCATCCACAGAAAGGCGATGCCTCTACCTCTATCTCACAACCCACGCCTGTCTTAACCGCCCCGCCTACCCCTCCTTCCACTCAACCCACCCCATCTCCCGCCAATGTCCCGACCAGTGAGGCTCAACCCACACCCTCCGAGGAGCATGGGCCCGAGAAGGCTCTTTTAGAATACGCCAGGATTGAAACAGCGCGGGCCGCAGAAAACCTCGTCGATTCAACCGAAGCTCTACCTCAATCTCAACCTGAAACCGACCAAACTGCCCCAACCGAGGATCGACCAGCAAAACGCGCTCGAACTTCATCAACTACATCTATTGCGGCCCCACCTCGGAAGAAGTCTGTATCCGTAGCGGCAAGCCGTCGAGGCTCCCAGTCAATTGTGCCTACAATCGAAGATGCAAGCGCAACGCCCGGTGAATCCAACCTTTCGACTCCAGATCCATTAAAGCCAAAGAAACGAAAGTACTCCAAGGCCGGTACATCGGATCCTGAGGGTAGCGAGAAACCAAAGCGTACCCGCAAGAAGCGCGAACCCACCCCGGAAGGCGCAGAGACTGTGGAAATCTTGCCGAATGTTGTGAAAATGTCAGAGCTTTGCAAAGATCTCCGCACTGGAAAGAAGTCCAAGCGCGAGACAGAGCTGCGCAAGATTGATCAGGCTGAAGAAGAACGGAAAAAGCAGGGCGGAACCCCTGGGCCAGGAACACCCGTTAAGCAAACCGAGGCTGAACAGGAGAAAGCCGAACAACCGGTCGATTGGAAACCCCAAAATGGCCCCATTATGCGAATCGTTAACGGCGAGATCGTGCTGGATAATACGTCCCTGCAGGTCGATCGTCACGCGGATGCCGCCCGAGCCGCCGGCGACCTCGAAGATGTGGTGGAAAGCTCGTTCACCCGAAAGATCAATCAGGCCTCGTACGGCAAGCGTACAAAGACTGAAGCATGGGATGAAGAGATGACAGATCTGTTTTATCGTGGGCTGCGCATGTTCGGTACCGATTTCATGGTTATCAGCAAAATGTTCCCGGGCCGGTCTCGTCGTCAGATCAAGTTGAAGTTCAATAATGAAGAGCGCCGTGATCCACAACGAATCAAGGACACCTTGATGGGCCCGTCTGAGACCATCGACATTGCAACCTACTCAGAGATGACGAACACTGTCTACGATGATCCCAAGGTTGTTCAGCAAGAACTTGACGATGAAAAGAAGCGGATTGAGGACCAGCATGCCAAGGAGAAGGAGATGCAAGAGGACATGCTGCGCAACCCAACTGGGGATTCCAATGATGCCAAGGATGCCAAGACGGTTGTCAAGAAGTCTCGCAAGAAGGTGGGATTGAAAAACCAGGGAGGCGGAACAGAGGAGGTTCTGGGATCGATCGATGACTTTCCCACGGCTTAAGTCGGGGATTTTAATGGAAATCTTATGAAGCGAAAGATTATAGGTTACGGCGTTCTGGGTGTAGGATTACAGGATATCAAGCCAGGAGTTTTAGGCCTTTTGATTTGCTAATCGATTTGTTACTTCGTTTTCCCATTGTATATGTACCAGTATCATAATGGCCACAATAAGTTACCGCTACCAGTTAAAGATCTGTGGTTTCTTCTCAAAGACCTTTTTGGCTATCTTTTAATATCTCTGTTTCCTCAAGTCGGTAGCAAATGACAAGCGTAAGTGACATGTTCATGAGATCACCTACGCCTGGTCGACCCGAACCCAGTACTAGCAGTCGTAGATGAAAACTGCGGCGGCGAACTCGAGCTGCCTTCACCGGGGTCATATCCACCAGACCTGCCCATTGGCATTCCGCCGCGCGATCCATTATCAGAACGTCTCCCCATCTGGTAACCAGCGGCAGCACCGCCTAGCGCACCAGTCCAGAAACCTGGCGTCCAGCCCTGCTGTTGACCGGCAGGTTTAGAAGAATCGAAACTGCTGTACGGAGGCGGAGGATCATTTCCACCACCTCCACCTCCACCACCACCTCCCCAGAACCCACCCGTCCCCGGGGCCTGATCCGGACGCCTGTCTCGCCGATTCCCCCACCCGAAACATTGCGCCAGCATAGGCCAGAAGATCATAACGAAAATGGCAGCGATGAACCCAAAGAAAATCAGATCCCCAAGCACCGCCGTCGTCTTCTGGCCTCCAGTCCCGGACCGGCCCTTCCCAGCCCAATCCCACTCCGAATCGCCGCCTCCTTTCTTCCCAAACCTCTTCTCACCAGCTTCGGTTAAGAGCAGCCGGTACTCAACCCCACAGCTCCCCTTCAACACCCACTTATCATCGGCATTCCGGTACCCCTCGCAGATTACATCTGTTGCGCCGAGCTTGAACTCCGCCGGCAGGTCTGCGGTGCAGGTCCACTGCACGTCTTCCGCGTCGTAGTCGTAACCTTGGTTTGTGCAGCGCATTACTTCTGGTTGGTAGAGGTTGCATATTTGTTTTGATGGGCCTGCGCAGCTGAGTTGGGGGATTGGTGAGACGCGGCGTGCGCTTGTCATGCGGTGCGCGCGGAGAGTTAAGGTTTGCACATTTGATAGTAGAATGGCATCTTTGCCGGGTGGTTTGGGGTTTGGATTGCATGCTGCTGGTGAGATCAGCAGCAGAGCTGTGAGTGCCAGTTTAGTGAGACTGTGCATGGTTGGTTGAGAGCTAGACAGCTCTCTGGATTGTGGTCTATGGTCTGTAATGCTTGGAGAAATATTGATTTGGGTTGATCTGAGGTTGTTGTTAGTGGTAAGTACAAGGTGACTAGCGTTTTCAGTTGATTAGGCTCCAATGCTGTGAGTCAACAGGTGGCGATTGTTTTAAGGACTTCGTGTCCTTCAAACTTGCTTGGAGTGGAGAACAATAATTTAGCTATGTTTGCTCTGTTTGCACGATCTACATACTCATACTAATATAGGACTTTTCTTTTTCACTCACAAGGATCTTCGAAGGAATTTAATCTTACATTCCTTACACTATACTATGGGTAAACAAGATTCCAGCTCCAACCACCCCCGTAATGGCGTTGTTAGGACTGCTAGCCGGACCAACTGCCGCGCCCCTGCTAGTGGAAGTAGCATACTGGGCAGTATATATAACAGATAACTCACTGGAAGTAGATAAGGCTTGATTATTATAGCTGGTTCTGGGACAGATGCAGTGAGGAACACTGAAATATCCCAGACACTGCGTTGTCGATCTTCATGAAATTGTCTTCATCCTAGTTGGAATTTGCTGTCAGCAAGGAATATCAAATTGTAATCTTTCTGGTTTGCGGCACAATTGATCATTCGAGTTTGAGTCTCTATGTCATACAAGGCTCTTGGGTCGTTATGGATTAGGTTGATAATTAGAATTGAGAAGTACGTAACTGGCTCCCTGGCGTTTAGAGCCGCAGATACGGGTAGCCCGGCAGTATGTCTATTAGAGCGACTAGAGAAATTAGAACTGAAATCGCTATCTCGAGGGCGTAGATGGTCATCGTATGTAGGTGCCCGATGTACTTAGCCGTATTGACAGCGCCCTAGAGGATGGTGCATCCGGCCCAAGCGGGAGCTTGCATCCACATACTATATATATAGCTATTTTTAGCACCTTTTTATTGACCAAGTACTATAGACCATCTATAGAGAGAATTTAGGGCATCTTCGACGTATCCTAGACCAAGGAATTCTCCCAAACCCTGGCTAAAGTTGACTGCTACATCCGCAGTTTGTCAAAGCTCCATCTATCACTACTGTATCAACGACAATATCTCTCTAAAAGCAAATCTGACTAAGATATGAGACGCCGAAGTTGTGACCGAGGTCTTCGTATATTGAGGAGGCACCGATATTGAAAGATTTCTATCCTAGGCAGACTGATAACGTCCTCTTGGATGCAGTCGCCACGAGGCAAGTGTCAATTGTATTGAATTGAACTTCAACCTTCCGCGGTGGCATGTCTATGGTCACGTTGGCAAAGTAATTGGGAAAGTCCTGATGCTGCAAATCTCAGTCTTCATGGAGCTGTCCCCGTGAACCTTGTGCAGGCATACCACCCATACATGGGTTCATGCTAGCAATACTAGTTGATATTTTAGGTAGACCGTGGGATTCAGGTTCTAAGATTACAGGTGGGCCTACATGTGGATCTATACTTCCGATCTTATGGATATTAGCTCTCGCCTTTTCACCTTAAAGCGACCACACTAATTAATTCAAGAACACTAATTTGCTCAAGTCGAGCTATAAAAATAGATTCAGCCGACGCATTTGGAAGCAAACATGATTAATATACACTCGAGACGGTCATTTGCATGTTTTACACGCTTTTCACTGCATTTTATATTTGGGGTCTAACTCTTTCCATCCTTCTGGCTACGGAGTAAAAGCTAATACAAAATCATATTCAAGAAAAATATCCCAAAGTTGCCACATTTGGTAGGACATCCAGTTAGATCTGCATTCACTTATGAACAGAGCCTCTTCCCCCGACAGATTCAGCTGTCATGTGGGCAATGGCCGGTAGCATATTCGGCGGTCGTTTATTCATCAGATGTCTATGAGCCCCCTAACACTCAGTATCTTGGTTATGTCCCGTCTGTCTCTATGAGGCAGTGCATTTTTCATGTCGCGATACTCGCAAGCTAGCAAGGGCCTGTGTCCAGCCAAGAGGGAGGACTAAAATCCTCAATTTAGTGGCTGTGCACTGCCAGCCTGTGCATATGCCAAGAGAGGCGTTCTTTTGGCCTAACCTATTTGGTACTATTATTAGGCTATAAGTCTTTAGGCTGCCCAGCTGAACTCTTTCTGACCAAAAATCTCACTTCCAGGCTCTCTTCAGGGATTTTGAGTGCTTTGGAAGTGTCGCCAATACAATATGGCGGTGGAAGATAGATCATTTCCATCGAATGATGCGGGACGGGCCTCAGCACCACCAGAGTTACCCTCACAGCCAGAATCCTCAGAGGACAAGGCGGGGCTGGTAGACTTTCGTATCATTTCTGCCTTGCCAGATGTTGCAGAAATAGAGGCATTTCCTAGCAGCAGCATGCAACCGCCGAGCACCCCCTCACAAACTCCCTTATCACAGTTACTAGAAAGTCATTTCTTTCGCTTACGCAATGCCTTAATTCTTGCTCTTCACTCTGAGGGTGAGTATATGCAAGTCCTAAGATCTGGCATTGTGTGCTTATAGATGAATATAGTTTCGAAAGAGCTCGGTTCCAAGAATCACAAGAAGCAGAAAAACACCAAAGATGATGAAGAATCAGATAACGGCGAGCCGGGTCCAAGCCATGATAAATACAAAATGAATGGCAAACTTTGCTTTGTGCTATCCAAAAGCCACCTTCTAGCCATGGGAAGGACATACTATTCGAGCTCCGAAACGGCACAGGGACCGATCACGTACGTGCTTCATGTTCCATCGGATGCTCCCTCCAACCTGAAGTTTCATATGCAACACATGACGTACAAGCTCCCAAAACATGAATACAAGCATTACCCTTCGAAAACATCAGCGTGGAAACTGGTGCCCATTCTAGAGTCGTTACAGAAGAGGGATGATTTGCCCTTAAGTGAAGAATTACTTCTGTACAGCCGGAACCCCCCTGCTCCGGTACCACTGCCAGGGCTGGACCGGCTGCTTGAGTCACTGATACAAAACAATCTCAAGTCGGCGTACCGTGCGCTGAAGTTGCCTGAATACTTCATGTGCACCAGGATAGGACTAGAAGAGGGAATTACGGCGTGTATACCGGCTTTTACTCAGCGAGTTACGCTTTACAAAACAGCAGCTGGTATGCCTTATAATGAGTCGGATTTACTACTCAGCTAATCTTGTGTGAACAGGAGTTGATCCATTTCCGCTTAGCCAGGTTATTCTCGAGTCTCTGTTTCGGCTTTCTGGCCAGAAGGTTTTTCTTGTTTTTGCATCGAGGGAGAAATTAAACGACATGATCGCTAGTCTTCAGCATCTGGATGTATGCATGCAAGATGTGTTCGCATTCCCAGGAGGCCTCATAAGCCAACATGAAGAGAATGACTCAGACGGCTCGTCGCTTTGGAAGGGCCGTCGCACTCCTAACTCGATGTTGGCTGAATGCGACGAGGAACGGCAAGAACCAGAGGGTCTTTCAACGAGTATGGAGTCACCTGATAAAATCCCCGGCCAGACGGGACCCTCGGGTGAATCTACAGACTCTTATCACGAGGGCCACTCATGTTTGGCTGATCGTCAGTCAAACCACAAAGATACAAAACAAAGTAGCTCTTCTGGGAGCGATTTGCCGATTTGGCCAGAGGATCTGCTAATGGACAAGAGATGTATCACCAATATGACTTCTAAGTCTCGGAAGCAGTACAGGCGACAGATCCAGGATGAATTGCGGAAATATGACGCCTCTTTTAAGGAGATGGTACGCCTACGTGTCGAAACGAGACTCCATGCATTTAATAGATTGGATCCATGCATTTATCTTTGTGCTGCCGAGGATCTGGCAGAATTTATGCCCGAAGTATCCTGTATACAGGCCGAAACTGTCATTGTTGATGGAGCAGATCGGATTGATGAAGGGCTTCTTTTTGCCACATTACCCAGCACAACCACGAGACTGATCCTGTTTGGGGAAGAACACCGTTCTGCAAATGAAGAGGGCAGCCAGCTGGAGATGGATGGTATGGCTACAAATGCGAGTGAGAGTAGCATGTGGGAGAGACTGGTAGGCGGAGGCCTGCCCTGTGTCGAGGTCCCGCCAGCTGGGCTGGCAAATTCTTATGCACTCAGTGATGGTGACAAGAACAGTGACTGGGAGGATGAAAGTGACGATGACAGTAACGACGACAGCGACGATGATAGTGACGATGATAGTGACAATGATAGTGACGATGATAGCGACGATGATAGTGACGATGACAGCGACGATGACAGCGACGATGACAGTGACGATTCTAGTAACGTTGTCACACTTGAGAACATCAAAGCGTGGCGAACCTTGGAGCGAATGGTAGGCCTTGAGAGTGTCAAGAACCAAGTGCGCTTGTTACATCACCGAGCAGTCGATAATCGCGCGCGCAAAGAGAAGGGGCTGCCTCCGCGCCCTATCCCCCACACAGGCCTTTTCTTAGGCTCTCCAGGTACCGGGAAGACAACAGTTGCAAAGCTCTACGCTAGAATCTTGCATCGGATAGGATTTGTCAAGAGGAAGTCCGGTAAGCATCCGCCTGACTAATTGTGTATACACGATGATGACCTGTCACTTAAATCTTCTCTCTGAACAGTACTTGAAGTAAACGCCTCGAGTCTGGTAACTACCTGGAATCCTCACGATAAATTGAAAGGTTCAAAAGGGAGGGTCTTGATCATCGACGACGCACATGCACTCTGGGGTGGACCCACATCGTACGGCGAATCTGACTACAAGAATGCCATCGACGCGTTGATTTCCCTCGTCCTGCCTGGTCAGACACCCAGCAGCATTATATTGCTTGTAGGGAACGAGGACGACATGCTGAACATGTTTCAACATGCCAATCCAGGTCTCTCAACAAGGTTCCCACTGGCTTCTGCCTTCCGATTCCCATCCTTTTCGCTATCTCAGTTGGAGCAGATATTGGACAACCGACTAAAATCAGCTGCCATGGGTACATCGTCCAATGCAAAGTCCGCTGCATTGGCGGTTCTAGCGCATGGTATGGTGTCGCCTAGGTTTGGAAACGCTAGCGCGGTGGATACACTGTTACAAAAGGCACACTTCTCGCTTGATAAGCGATGTATGGATGACCCCCAAACAGACCCAATGGTTCTTGAGCCGGAAGACTTTTCGAAAGATTGGAACCGTGTTTTCGATGCCGAGAAGGAATGCGAGAGGCTCTTTCAAGATGTGGTCGGCAACGATACAGTCATGTCCGATCTGCTTGCCAATACCAGGGTGGCAAGGAAGGCCGTCGAGCGAAACCTCAACCCCCGAGATTACATCTCTTTCAATTATATCTTTCGAGGAGCTCCAGGTATGTATTATCACCCCCCCCCCCCCCCCCGATTCAAGCGATTCTTAACGGGAACCTAGGGACCGGCAAGACAACAATGGCGCGAAACATGGGACAGATATTCTACCACATGGGTCTTCTTGCCAGCGCCGAAGTGATTGAATGCTCAGTGAGCGATATTATCGGTGAATATATCGGACAAACCGGCCCTAAAATTATAAGGCTTCTCAAGAGCGCGGTGGGCAAGGTCTTATTTGTTGACGAAGCATATCGTCTCGGCGATGGTTCAGAATCACACAATACCTACTCAAAAGATGCTATCGCAGAGATTGTTGGTGCCCTTACGAGTCCCCAATTCCAACAGAAAATGGTCATTATTCTTGCCGGTTACAGTCAGGAGATGGACGACTTTCTAGACTCGAATCCGGGCCTGCGAAGCCGATTTAACCGCACAATAACGTTCCAGAGTCTGGATGCAACATCATGCACCCAGCTTATGGTGCAATTGATGCAGAAGCAGGGACTGGATACTTCAATGTTGGAGATACCCGAAGGCGGAATCCACAACGGACTACAGAGCAATTTCACTACTCTATCGCGGCTGAAAGGCTGGGGAAATGGACGCGATATCCATACATTGAGTATAGATATTTTTCGCAAGGTCTTGGACACAACGGATAGCGATGATGCATTGGTGGTGAGCATGGACCAGGTTATGTTGGCCCTTGGGGAGATGATTACTTCGAGGGGTGGTATGCCTCCGGTAAATCTGACCCCAAGGCCACCACCTCCGGGCTGGAATGGGCGAGAATGGCTAGAAAGACGTGGATATAAATAAGTCTTAGGATAAATTGACCTTCGAGATGTGGGATTTTGGCGCTTTTCTCTGCGTGAACGAGGGCTGTCGGATCTGGATTCAACACTTTGCCATAATTCGTGCAATATTTCGTCTATTTAGACTAAATACTCGTATCTTAATTCACGCAGTACACAAACTCAACGGTTGAATCACTCTCTCCAAGAACTGCTGCGCAAAGACTGCGTCTCCAAGATCATCAGTTGGAAGGCTGGAATCGAGAAGAGTCCTTACTGCACTTTGGTACAGATACCCCATCCTCCAGCCCAGATCTTCCACGACGTTGTTGATAATATACTCCTGCCATGCTTTTCGACTCGTCAGCTTTTTCTTCCTCCGCTCCGTCACTGTATCGGCCACAAGGGCCCATCGTCCAATTTCACATAATATAACACCTAGACTGTAGAGATCCCGCACCTTGGAAAACCCTAGGTGCGCGTCAGGGTGGTAGTAATGGTCTAGTGCGGTGTCTTCGAGAGGTCCACGAGATAGGGAAATCGCATCCTGCGGTCGAGAATACTGAAACCCGGTAATGAACGGCTCGAGAGTAGTAATGCCAAGGCCATTAGCCTGTTGGAAGAAGAGAATATTATCACTATGCATGCCTTTATGTAGCCAACCGGCTGCGTGGAAAAGGCTAAAGGCACTTGCTAGACGATATGCCAAGCGAAAGCGATCTCCAAGATGTGGGATTGCGGCACTTTTCTCCTCTTTGATAAGGCCCTTTAGGCTTTGTGGAGGATAGAGCTGGATATTCGCCTCATATTGTAACCGATTAGAGGAACCAGACTGCGGTAGACCAAACACAAAGCCTAGACGTTTAGACCCATGCTCGGCCTCGTATTTGAGGTCATCATACACCCCGTAGCAAGGGGGTAGGCAAAGCTCAGGCTGGCTGACTCGTTCTAGGACGTAGCCCAACGACTTAATACGCGTAATATATCTGTCGGATCCGGGCCCTGGGTTCAAACTATTCCACTCTACCCAGATAGGTAGTACCTGTCCGTTTCGGTGAAAGAGAACACCAGTGAGCGATGAGCCTTCTCGGAATTGCAACTCCCGACTAGTGATCGCGGTAGCTGATCTCGATCCACGGCCAAGCTTTATATTGAGACTCTTGGCTTCAGCAGCTAGAGCTAACGTACGATTGACTTGATTCTGGGGGTTGTATAGAATCTGTAGTAGGTTTGGGTTGAGAGGGGCGAGAACTTGAGGTGGAAGCGCTTTTTCTGGGAGCCGTGATTCACCGGAATGTACATTAAGGCCGTGGAGATCACTAATGAGCTTTCCAAGCTTTGTAATGACTTCTTCAAATTCTGATTTCCCTTTGATTGTCCAGCGGACCCGGGACTTGGCCTTTTTGGTCTTCTTGGATAACGCCGTTGGCAACGCCCGATCGATGGCTAGGTTATCATCCAGATCCAGCGTTGGGAGAGTCGCCAAGTCGATATTGTATTTGAAAATCAGGCCATTGGCTTCTTCGTTAAGCTTCTGAATTTCGCCGAGGATCCGAACGATCAACGTTTTCAGGTAGTCTGGAAGATCACGAAGGGTGCATTTGTCCGATTGGGATTCATCATTAGCGTTGCATAATTCTCCCCAGACTTGTAAACGAGTCCTCTCAATGTGGTAGCACAGTGCCAGATATCCGCAGTCCATCCGAGTGTCGTCAAAGAAAGACTCAATAAGCAGTGCGGTGTCAAGAGCACCCCTGAATGCGATAACGAGACCGACAACCCCTAGTACCAGCCCTGGGACTTCAAGACCGGACATATTGAATACAACTTGCAGACACCAAAGAAGTAGAGAACAGGAGATGGCAAACAAGAGCACATAAATTGTGAATATGCTAGAATATGTTGACACCCCGCTCTCAGCCCCCAAGTCAGGCAGAAACTAGCAGACGAATCAGAGTCTAAATCCGCTAACCTCCCTGTTCTCATTCTCATCCTGTCTATAATTTATAGCTGATTTGCACTCCAAGCCTTTTCTTTTTTCTAGGTTGGAGATTTGTATCCTGTCAAAGATGGACCGCTCAGGCCGATTGTTTTCATTCGACACCAGCTCGTTTAGCACTAGGCCACAAGAGATAACCACGACTACCCTACCTAATTTATCGCAGGCTCAGCTAAACTTGGCAAGTGACGATGCCTCGCTAAAACTCCAGCAAGCGGCGCGGGCAGACCCCGATTTTGTAGATGTTTTTTGGGCCTCTGTCCATTACGATATCCCTTTCAGGTCAATAGACAAAATTGGACTCGAGGGCCTGGACGAAGAGCCACAGGTGTTCTCGATAGGAAGTGGATTGACTTCAGAAGTCGTGCAGCATATGTTGGTTGACGAAGATGCTGAACTACAACCTCCGCCGAGTACGACTATTGCACTGAAAATCTTTCGATCCACAAAGATGGATACCCCAAATGATGCCAAGGCAGCTCGGCAGAAGGTTTACCATTCGATACTGAAAGAGATGATGGCTTTCGGCCATTCTGCCCTGTCTAGCCACCCACATATTCTGAAATTATTGTTCATCGGGTGGAATCTGGATCATGCGTATCCGCTTCTCGCTATGGAGCTTGGGGACCACGGCTCCCTAGACTACATTATCCGAGACCTTGGACCCGGCCCAACCACACGACAAAAGCGACACCTCACGATTGATATTGCGCTCGGTCTCCAGGCTATTCATGAGGCCGGATTTACTCATGGAGACCTCAAACCGGACAACATCATCATATTCAGTAGCGAAGATCCTACACGTCAAGTGGTTGCGAAATTGACAGACTTTGGGGGCAGCAACCAAATGCATGGGGAACATGCCGGTACACCAACGCATATCACTCCGCTCTGGTCTGCCCCAGAAGTTCTCGGAAAGCATCCAAAAATTGATTGGCGCTTCGCAGATATTTATTCGTACGGGCTTGTTGTGGCCAGCTTATGGGCTGGACGGGAGAGTAGCGAGATATATGGCCAGAGGGCAAGGGATGAGGATGGTGATTGTGATCAGCCACCAACCTCAACCACATCCTCTAGCTCGAGTGTACTTTCAAGTCTCTCAACTTCTGTATCGTTAGCACCCGAAGAGGAGCAGGAGGGGCTGAGATACTTGAAGAAGTTACCCGAGGACCATCCAGGTAGCCTCATGTCGTTCCTTAGAGAGCGGATTACAAAGGAATCGCTGCCAGCAGATATTGACCCCAGTGAAGTATTCGCAATCATCACACCAACATTAAAACCCGACTGGATGATGCGACCGGATATGGATGGGTTAATGGTGATCATATCGGAATTTTCTAATGCCATAGGCCGTGCAATTGAACTGTAAGTGGTCCGACAACTTTAATTTTCTCCTTCTTTCTGATTATCAGTCGTGTAAGAAAGAAATAGCTGACAACATTCCAGCCTTGCCGATCTCGAGGTTTCAGAGGCAAGCAATACAACGCCTCACTCTTATATTCCTGAGCGGATCTATGAGCCGAAACCCGTGCGCAGCCCATTGATCGACGCATATCCCGGGTCGCCTCTTTTGGTTACCAATCACCAACAAATCATGACCACCCATACACTTCGCGCCCTTGACGAAATCAACGATAGAATAAAGTATAAGCCACAGCCAGAAGACATCCCAGATCACTTTCCTGAAGACCTCACGACGGATCAGTTCCTAGGGATCTTGCTGGCAAAGACTGAGAGCAACCAGTCAGACCTCTACAACGCGATCAAAAGTGATTTGAAAGAGGATATATGGCCTAGAGTACTTGATATTATTAAGAAAGGGTATTTCTTATCCAATCTAGGCATGCGTGGTTTGTTTGCCCTAGATGCGCGCCAGACACCAGATTCCAAGAAACGCGCGCTCGAATATCTTCGAACGTCTGCGCTGTACCAGAATGAAACTGGTATCATGGCTGCAACTTTTGCGTTGTCTACTGGACATGCCCCCCATGAATCGGAGATTCCGATACGATTAAACCTAACCCTACTTGCTCTCTCACACTCATCGCTGGCAATCAGGCGTCTACACTCCACCTGGCCGGATCTCTATGTCATTGTTTCCAAAGTCATCCGAGAAAGGGGTCTAGGTTGCCTTGAAGAAGCGAAGACTATTCATCCCGGTCTATATAACACCCAGCGACTAATTAGAGCTTATTGTGCCCAAGCTGCATCGCCAAGTCCCACTGGATTGACGCCACTCAGTCTTGGAGACGCTTTGGATATCGGAGCTACCGAGGTGATTAGAGAGATACTTGAGCGTCCCGATGATTCTTTTACAGCAGATGAGGAGCAGACCATCTATAGTCTATTCCATAGGCTCAGCAAGGTCCCGGATGCCGAAGCTGCCGCACTTTGTCGGACCGCCTACGAACAGGGAGCGAATCTCGATTGTCTTCTCGAGATGGATATGACTGATTTGCTCGTATTGACAAGTAATCGCACGCCTAACACCCCTTTGTGTGTCGCCCTTGCAAGAGGACAGCCGATCCTCGCTTTCGAGATCTTTTGCCTCCACGTCGAGTTCGATGTGCCTATAAGGAAATTTGCCCTGGCGCTATTTTGGAGTTTTTTAAATCATTTCCCAGAGGTAGGGGAGGCCCTGCTGAGGCTCTTCCAAGATAATCCCGCTATGTGTCTCGATGATGATACTCCACTATCAGGAGGGAACGCGGACTCTATGGTAGATATACTCTCGGCTATTATGGTTACGTCTATGCTTCCGCCAAACAAATCGGCCTCATTCATGTTACATGGAGGCGAACATGAGGCTGCCTATATGAGGACCCAAAGTCTTTTGTTGGATGAGGGTGCCGATCCCGCATTGGGAGCCGCCACCGAAACATCTCTAGGCATTTCCATCGTCGCTGATGATGTAATGTCATTGAACAGATTCATCAAACATATGGAGATGACAGCCCGCAAAGAGGCTCGCAAGAGTGTGAATGATGTTCTTTTGGCTTCCTTGAATGACCCTTGCAACTTGGCTAGCTTTCAATACATGACGCTAGGCGCAGAAGTTGAGAAAGCTTCGGTCGACGTGGTGTATATGTATCGCTGGGAGTATATGTACACTGCCCTGGCTTTGTGTCTAAGGCACGGCTCACTGGCATGCTTCAAGCTCTTGCTTACAAAGGTTCCCAGCCTTGTGAACATAGAGGTGGATCTTATGGGAAGAACCCTGCTACACAGGGCGTGCTCCGGCGTTGAAAAAAAGGTCCACAATGTCAAGAACTATTCCCATGAACATGTCCCAGCTCTCATGGCCCTGATCACTCGGTCCAGCTTTTCGGGGGGTTCCAGTGTGGAGTTTGTTGACTTACTGTTGAAAGCTGGGGCAGATGTCATGGCGACGGATAGCCGGGGTCACACAGCACTGTTCTGGGCATTGCAACAGGCGAACATTCCCGCGGCCGATATGATAGCGTCACATTGCTCACAGGATCAACTCAAACATATGTTGCGACGCGATCCATCCACTGGAGATTCGATCTTCGCGGCTCTGATTAGGTTCGAGTTCGATGGTGACACAATTCTCAACGCCCTAGGTAATCGGCGACAGCCAAGGCTAGTCGAGAGCTTCTTGTGGCTTCAAGGGCGAGAAGCGGTATACTTTCATGGGCCAAGGGATTTGCCGGTCTGGTCCTGGATTTTGAATCACCAGCGGTCTCTACGCACAGGTGAACTGATGGATGCCAACATCATGGAATATCTGATCGATGTGCCTTTATTCTCAGAGAGCCTACGAACAGAGCGATACAAAGGCTTCTCATTGCTGCATTCTGCTGTCTGGCATGGGAATGTGGAGATCGTTCACTTGCTCCTCGCTAGAAACTTTGATCCCAATGTGATTGCAGAAGTTGAGGCTGGACGGGCCGGTTTGATATCGGGAACGCCTCTTGACAGCCTTGCCCACTTTATTGGATCAGGCAGAAATCCAAGCGGAATAGTCAAAGCTAGCGAGTCTGTTGTCAGAAAGTGGGAAGACAAACTGCTGGACATCGCCAACTTGCTCCTAGATCATGGTGGGAGGGGCGAGACGTTTGAAGCAGCTCGACAGCTCGCAAGCTTCGTGAATAATGCTCGAAACAGTAGTGGCACAAGCGAAGAATTGGACAGCTTCCTTGAACTACTCCGGGATATGGAGGTACCAGCTCAGTCTCTCCAACTGGAGAATAAACTAGAAACGTGGCCGAGGCCTCTGCCATCCGATGATCATGCCGATGTTATACCCAACGCCAAAGCAGCCGCCTTGATGTCAATTGATTCATTATATGACGTTAGCCTCAACGAAATTGAAATTATCGCAGAAGCCTTTAGACGTCTAGACCAAAGGCGCCGAGGACAGTTGGGAGAAAAGCAGATTTTGCTTCTTGAATGGCTCCATGCAAATGCTGTCGGAGGTCAACCTCTTGGAGATGCCACTATGAAGACCGCAAATACCAGTGGAGGATTTCAAAAACGGACGATAATAATAGACAACGCCGATAACAACCCACGGAATGGCACAACTAGACTGCATCATGCGGTTCAGCAGGGAAATCTCGGTGCACTAATGGATGCACTTGACTCTACTGGCGATGTCGACGCAGAGGATGCAGAAGGACGCTCCGCGTTAGAATTCGCGGTTCTCCTTGGGGCGACGCGAGAAAGAACGGGGGTAATTGAATTGCTTCTCCAAGCCGGCGCAAACCCGAACAGGAGTCCTGCACAGTCACCCTCACCTCCGATTGCAAAAGTCACCCCAGCTCTACATCTTTGTATCATGTTACGTGATGATCCAGATCTTGTAGAGACCCTAGTCACAGCCGGGGCAGACGTGAATATGCTCGACAGTGAGAGACAGAGTCCGTTGATGCTAGCTGTGACTTTTGGCCGCGTGGTGACGATGGGCTTGCTCCTGCATGCAGGCGCGGACATCACCGAACGAAATACGAAAGGTCAGTCTCTATTACATGTCTTTGTCATTGAAGACCAACCAAGAATCCTGTCGCTTCTGTTGGAATTGCTTTCCAATGAGCAAGTTGAAACGGGCCAGAAACGGATGGTCGACGCTGGAACGGAGAGTACAGGTCTTTCTGGCGAAGAAACTGACGGATACGCTCCTCTTCACTTCGCGGCACGGGATGGGAATATCATGGCTATGATAGTCCTCATCAATGAAGGCAAGGCGGATCCGAATGTGCAGGACAATTGTGGCTGTACCCCACTCCACTACGCTGTGCTCGATGGTACTGCTGATGCGGTGGAGATTTTAATCGATGTCGCTGGCGCAGATGTTGACGCGCGGGCCAGTTTTGAGGCCACGCCTCTGGTGATATGGGTCACGAAGTATTTCGGCAAGGTGGGTGCCGACGTGCGCATACGGGATCTATTGCTCGCAGGAGATGCCGATGTAGGTGTTGTGACAGAATTTCAGTACTTCGTGCGGACCGACGGTGAACCGGGGTGCTGGTATATCTATGTCGGCAAGGGTAAGGGGAGGGATCTGCTACAGGCCCAAACGGTGAGTGGTGCACATGGTGCTCCCTGGGTAGAGTGTGATCCATTGATTGCGTTGGATGGTGTAATATAGGTCAAACTGATCTCAATAAATCGCAAGAGATCTTTCATTTTCTAGCTTCGGGTTTGTTGGATGGTCTCATCTCCCATTCGCTTGCAGACTTACAGACTGGATTGTTTGTTTGACAGCAGGGTATAAAAAGACTGCTCTCTCCTAGATTGAATAACAATTATTCTTATTTCCCTTCCTACCCTTCGCCGATAGCTGTAAGTAGACCCCCGCAAAGCCCACAAAGCCCACAAAGCCCAAAGCCCAACCCACTAATGGGCTAGATTTTGGGCCCAGTCCGTAGGCCCACCAGTGGGCTATAGGAGGGTGGACTACCAGTGCCCTCTGCACCCTTCGGGCTCTCGACGATCGCGAGCGCTTCGCTGCTCTAGCTCAGCCTTTGACTTCTCATAGCCAGTATCACGGTGGGATCTTCTTTGCCCCTGTGCATCGCGAAAATATCCAGGCCCCCGATGGTTTTTGCCAGCGGGTGCTTCAGCAACTGCCAGAAATCGCGCCCCATGTGACTGGGGCTGAACGGACTGCGTTAAAGAAGGTCGTGTCACCTGTGGGCGGCACTGGGTGTATTGCTTTTTTTTTTTTTAATTTAGTCGAGAGCAGGCAGAAAGGAAGCCTCGGACATAGGTGAAGGTATTCAGGGTGTGTCGAGAAGAGTGGTAGATGGTGGTTAGCAACCTTCAAAGGAAGAGGCCTATTAGTCGTAGATAAGCGCACCGTTTTGATAATTACTTTCATATATATTCCATTACAGTAATTTTCAATGATTGAGACTACTAGCCTACTACTTGTATCATTCTCCCAGAAGTACGAAGTAAGGTCAGAGATGATCAGGAGATAGGAGTGCAAGCGATATCCAATATCGAATACTATAAATAAGCTGAAATCCCCCTGGGGGCTGGGATTTCTACCCCACCTCCAACCACATATATAGACCATAAGCCTACGTCTTACCCAACAAGCAAACAGGTCACCAAAATGGAAGAATCCCTCGTCCTCTCCAAGTTTGACAATCTTGTCCAATCTGGCCTCGTCCTATATGATGACAAACAACGAATCATTGAGCACATTGATGGGAACCTCAAAGTACCACTTGCCCAACCATAATCTAAACTAAACCCTACTAACACGATTACTAAGTTCCAATTTGTTCTCACTTCTGCCCTCGCCAAAAAGCCCACCCTAACCACCCCCCAGTTTCGGCCCGAGGTCGACCCCCAAAGACCTGAAAAGCGAGAAGGCAGCGACATCAGCACCACAGGCTTTGAACTCGGCACGCTAGATGGCCACTTTTTGATCGTGAACAAGTTCTGCTTTGCGCGGCCCCACCTCATGCTTCTCACATCTGATGGATACAAACGACAGTATGAAGCGCTTGATGAAACCGATTTTGATGGCATGTGGCGGGTCTTGATCTCGATGGAGAGAGACTACGTTGCATTTTTCAATTGCGGCCAGAATGGCGGATGTAGTCGGCTGCATAAGCATATGCAGCTGATGCCCTTGCCGGCGAATAGTTTTGCGGCCTTTCTAGATTCTTCCGACGAGGCCGAACCCAAGGTTCCGTTTGAGTGGTTCTATCGGCGCTTTGAGGGTGAGGTGACACCCGCGGTGTTATTTGGAGCTTACAGAGACCTGCTGGGGGAGGCTACGAAAGCAGCCGGGGACCATACGGCGAGTGCACCGGCCGGAGCAGTCTGTCCGCATAATATGATTCTTACCAAGAGATGGATGATTGTGCTACCGAGACGACGAGGCGGGATTAATAAGGAGGCTGGGGTGAATTCGTTAGGCATGCTAGGGGTGATCGCCGTGGCTACGACGAGGGAGATTGATAATTGGGTCCGGTTGGGGTTGACAGAGTCCCTGGCAGAGGTGGGAGTGCCCAAGCGGATATAGTTGCCAATGCCTTTGCGCATGGTTATGTGGAGGTTGAGCCAGAATCGGCGATATTTCAGTAGAATTATAGATCACCCACGAATATATGGATGTCACATTGAACTCTAAAGTTTATTGATATAGTGTATTCAGGCCGCTCATTGATACACTCAGTTCGTCCTAGCTCGCAAACCAGGGCGCTCAGAGGATGATCAGTGAGTGGATCAAAATGCTCAAGGGTGTTGTCAAATGTCGATGAAGAGGTAATAGACAACTGTGGATGTATACTAGTATATAGCAGGATGTAAGTGTCATTGAGTGTAGTTACGGAAGAGAGTGACATCTATGGATGCTACACTATATATATGCGGTACCCCTGCCGGAGTATTGGTTTCTCCGGTGCCCGGGACGAATATTCTCAGCGAGGGGATCTCAGGGGTGTGCTCAATTTAACTCTGAGATTACAAAGCCGCAAGATGGGAGTACTAAAACATAAAGGGGAAAACATTTAATCTTAGTTCTAGGGATTATTATTCGGTAAACATGCAATTTATACATGGTATGAGAACGGTCGGCCGCTTATACAGCGTTGTGGTGTGTTTTTTTAGATGTTTTCTCTCCTTTATCGGTTGTATAGCTAGGTAAACGGCAGGAAAGGGGGGGGGAAGCAGAATGTGTAGATGCCTTTTCTATGTATGCATAACCTGGGATTTTATAGATGCTAATCACGCTAGTCCGGAACTGGATAAGGGCAGTTCCTTAAATTTTAGAGGCAGGCGGTCGCAGTTGGCATATCAGCGATAAGATCTGCGGTTCGGCCAAGCCAGATCCGAAAGTTGGAACTCCTTCGCCATCTGGAGATGGCACCGTGAATAAGTATTGTCAACAGCCGCTGACAATGGCGCTCCAACAACGTGAGTGGTGATACCCCGAAGGCTTGGAACTGGTGTGCTGATAATAATGTAGATGAGCCTGCGCCATTCGCGCCTCAATCCTCGTACGCCCTCTACCCGTGGAGTGGACTATAAGAGCTTGCTAACACCCTCTTAGCTTGTCCTTTACCCAAGGGTTTCTTCTCGGCCAGCTCTCAGTAGTACTCCTGATCGGTGCCTTCATCAAGTTTTTCATTTTTGGTGAAGCGCCTCCCCCTCCATCCCGGGGCATGTCAAACCGCACGACACACCGCCGCAACAGCTCCGTCTATAACCCCCCTCAAGATAACCAGAAATCATTACGTGAAAAACCGTCCACGTCGAATGTTCTTCGTCCCGTACCTTCTACCTCTACAAACACCCGCTCCATCCTCCGCAAAACCTACTACAGTGCCATTCCTACCAACCCTACTAGCAAACATGGCCGACAACGCATGCATCACTCGTCGCATCAACCCGAGTCACTGGACTGGTTCAATGTACTCATTGCACAGACAATTGCTCAGTACAGGGAGACGGCCTACTCCCTCAAGGATTCACCTACTTCATCAATCCTCAGTTCCCTAACGGCAGCCATGAACAACCCGGAGAAGAAACCATCCTTCATAGACAAGATAAACGTCACCGATATCTCACTGGGTGAAGAGTTTCCCATTTTCAGCAACTGCCGCATCATCGCCGTTGACGATCCCATGTCGGACGGTGGACGGCTACAGGCGCTACTGGATGTCGACCTCAGCGACGACAACCTTTCCATTGCCGTCGAGACATCTATGGTTCTGAACTACCCCAAACCACGCTCTGCCATCCTGCCAGTAGCGTTATCAGTCTCGGTCGTGAGATTTTCAGGAACACTTTGCATATCCTTGATCCCAGCATCGACCGAGCCCCCAGAACCACTTCAAACGCCTGCCGGGTCACCGGCGCCTCCCACATCAGACCAAGGCTACAACACAGGCAATCGACCCTCTGGTCCTGGGGAGCACACAAGCTCGCAAGATCAGCTCCCACCAAAAAGCAGCCCAAAAAGCAACGTCGCATTCTCCTTCCTCCCAGATTACCGCCTAGACCTCTCCGTGCGCTCACTCATCGGATCCCGCAGCCGACTGCAGGATGTACCGAAGATAGCGCAGCTTGTCGAAGCGCGAGTCCACGCATGGTTCGAGGAGCGCGTCGTCGAGCCTCGAGTGCAAGTAGTCGGACTTCCAGACCTGTGGCCGCGCATGGGCAGAACAGGCGTCCGACCCGGCGAGGATTCGGATGCTGGGTCAACAGCACCGCCGCGCAGCGCGGGGTCTACCGAGGCATCCGGCCCGCCTCTGTTCTCCAACGAGCATCTTCGGGAACCGGAAGGGCTGCGGTTCCGTGGGGGCCTGGATACACGGCTAGGGCTTCGCGCTGGCTCGCGCACGAATAGTTTCAACGTTGATATGGGTGGTTTGCGCAGCTCGAGTATGACAAGGCAAGAGAGTGCCGGTGCTACAAGTGAGCATTTTGATATGCCTGGTGCGATGCCAGCAGGGACGCCGGTGGGAACACCTGGCATACCAGACAACTGATGTAAGTATGAAGTGTCCTTCGACCATTCCTACCCAGGTATTGTTTCGATTGATTTACTGTGGGTTTGCTGTCCCTGTGTACATTTAAAAGCACCATGCAACGAAAGTGATATAAGACAATCTCAAGAAATTCCGATTTCCATCATTCAGTAGTATATGTGCAAAGAATTCAGTCATAACGCATCTCAATATCAAAATGATCCATCCTAGACAGACGCAGTAGGACTGACAACATTCTCCAGATAAGTCTTCCGGTGCGGGTTAACATCAACATCAGCACCACGGTTGAGCGGCGTCCACTTAGGCTCGTCTTGGAATAGACGCATGGCCTTAACGTACTGCAAACAAAGTCAGTCCCATAATCCACCGCAAAAAATCCAAAAAAAAAAACATACGTTCTGCTCATTGGTAGTAAACCGATGATAAATTCCCGCAGGAAGAATAATCATATCCTCCTTAACAAGACAGATACGAATCCATTCGTCCTCTTGTCCACGAACATCAAAGTATCCCTCCCCGTCGAGAATATACCGAATCTCCTCGTCCTCATGCAAATGCTCCGAGAAGAACGACTTAACCTTCTCCTCATACACGGCGCCCATCGTCGCAGGCGACACGCAGACCTCGTCACGGTTAC